CCACACCCCGAGCTGCCTTCTGATCATTCCAGAGGAATCTAGGCAGTGAGTTTTCCTATCTCTACTCATTATTTTTAGGTACTTGTCAGGTTACAGTTGTCTGGCTGCTGTACAGAGAAGTGTGAAGAAAGAAAGCTGGGGAAGTCTGGAAAACCAAGGGAAGACCATTTCCATGCATCAGGCTTGTTCAGTCCCAATTTTCTTCCAAATTTCCTTCATGTGTTAGGAATCCTCAATTCCTTATTACAACAACAGAAAATATTAAATGCTGCAGACAGAGTCACTCTGTCTGCATCAGCTCAATACCTTTATTATCTGTAGTTTATTGTGCATGACATTGCATGTCTGATCATGGATTCCTCAGACCGACAGACCTGCTATTGAAATCAAAGGCAGCTTTGGCAGCAGCCACAGGACTGCGCTGGCACAGTCACAGGTTGTGTGCTTCAGGGAAAATGCTATCACACTTTGGAGCAGAAAGGAGTAAAAGGTAAAGGAAATGATGGCTCCATTCTGTTTCTTTTTTTCTTTCAGTTTTGTTGACATGGGAAATGCAGAGCTATAACCCCGCTCTGGAGAAAGTATGGAGTAGATACAGAAATGGTTGGGAGGACTGTGGGATGATGCTTTCCAGGATCAAATACTTTTAATTCTTTTTAAGAGTATCTTCTGTGTCATTTTTTTTCCAACTAGGATAATTGCTTTGAAAGTGACATAATTGCATGCAAATTAATTTATAGTTAAAATGGAAGTAAAGGTGAAATAGAAGTAGCTATTGACAATTTTAAAAATCAAATTAATTTTAGAGAAACAGTTTTTATTACTTGCTTCTCTTTTTGATTGTGACGAGCTGAACTAGCTATATAAGTTCTGTCTGAAATGGTTCCCCTCTTGCAAATATGATTAATTTGTTTTCCTCACACTTGCATAGTTGATCATAATACTAAGCAGGGCTACCAGTGCCTTTATGGTCACTAAGAAGCTCCAAACAATGCCACAGTTCAGTGCGGTTACCGTAGGAAGGAGAATCGGGTCAAGTGCTCTGAATATAGAATTCAGAGGAGTCCTTGCTCAAATCAGTGCTTCTACATTTGGGAGTTTCCAGACATTTCTTAGGAGAGCTTGCAGTGACATCTGAAGGCCATGCAGTAGAAAACCAGGGATCTGAAAATTCTGTTCTTTTCGTCTCTGGTAATATGTTTTTCTCATGAGGTACAGGAGCTATGTAAACATATTTCAGAAGGTAGAAGTTGTAACCCTAATTAGTTAATGGAATGCTATACAAGTGCTGGGAAATGGGGAGAAACTAGGATAATGCTATCTTTAGAGTTCCAGCTTGGTAGAACACTCAGGAAACCAAAAGTTGACTATTTGCAACTTGTGTGCAAATAAAAAGCAATTTGTGTGCTGCTCTGGAGGCAAGCAGGCTGGGAGCATTTGCTGCAAGCATCATCTATTTATTTCATGTACTTTTTGATGGAACATCCAGAATTGCATAATCCATAGGGAGTTGCCTGCCCATAGGTCCTTCTTCTTTGACAGATCTGTCACACTTCTCAGAAATCAAGATGCAAAATCCATCACTTAGGGACATGGTATATGTGTATCAGATACTGTCTGGGGGATGAAGAGTCCATTAAACAGCAAGTCCCTAAACTCATCCATATGAAGAATTCACATCTGTGACAGATAGAATATGGAGAGTGCCCATGGTCTAACAGGTGATCTGAGTCTAATGTACTACAAAAGCACTATAAATATTCATCTTATTTCGGCCTCTCAGAGATGTCTGTGGGTGATCCCAGAGGGATAGGAACTGCTTATGCAGAACCTGAGTGGGAACAGCAAGATCACGTTGTATGGGGGTGATCCTGGGAAGCAATGGCACTCAGCACTGGTACTGAGGCAAGCATATCATTGTCTGCATGATGTAGAGCTGAAGATCTGACCGTCACAATGAAGCCTATGCTAGAGTTCTGTAAACTTTGCTGCATAGTAGAAGAAGAGTGAATAATTAAGTCCTAATGGCTAGTGAATCTTTAAGTAATGAAGGCACAGCAGATTTATTGCTCATTAAAGGAGTTAGCCAAAACGTGGAAATCAATGGCATTAAGACAAGAGTAATCAGTTGGGTGAAGTCATGGGGAATTCTCTGTTAGGAGAATTTTCTCTCTTCTTCACTCACTGGGAAGAGTGTGAGTGATTCACCTACTTCATCCTGACAAATGAAAATGGCAGGCATTCTAGCATACCTTCTCCATTTCTCATTATGACTCCATTTGCAGGTTCTTAATGAATTTCCTTTGACTATGATGACTGTTGGCAAAAGTGTGAGAGTTGCATTGCAACCAGATTTTATAACTGAGCAAGGGCTGGGTTCATGGTTTGATGTAGAATTCTCATTCAGGCTCAAGTCTGAAGTTCCTGGAAACTTAAGGCAAGTTTTATTAAAAAACCTCTAAGAAGACTGTGGCTGAAATTTTGGCTTTAGATTTTAACCAGATGAAAAACATGTAAAGGTTCAAACTTACATCCAAATTGAGGGGTATTTCAGATTTTTCAGATTTATATTCTGGCCTATTTACATGTGATCTTTTTTTTAATTTTTTTCCCTAGCTAATTTCTGCTGTTTGTTTTGAGTGTTGTGGGTGATGCTGCTGTATTTCAGCACTTCTGAGATCTCTGGTAGTGGTTTCAAGGTATGAGGTATGCACTGACTATTGCACAGCCACCTTCTGCACTGCAGATGCCCCAGTGTAGTCACACTCCTGCTGGCCCTCTCTGAGAATCCAGCAGGTGAACTCTGGCAGCAGTGGGACCTGACTTTGCACACAGCCATTCCTTGGCTGTCTCTGGGTTTGCCATGAGTGGAGGCAGGACTGAGAAAAGCAGAGCTGGCCCATACTCTGTTGTGATTTACTTCTGTACAGTGTCAGTGAATATTTGACTGGACTTAGTGAGAGAAGGGCACTATATAGATTTAGGCTTGGAATACTGATAAACTTTCCTGAGCTTTGCTGAAAAGGCACCTCTTTTCTGTGTGCATTCTCCAGATACCAACATCCTCTAGACTTGTGGGACAAAGGTTAAATCTGTGTTAGTAAACTTTCTTTAAGAGAAAAGAAACATAGAGCCAGTTCAGTTTCTTTAACAGCAGCGGCCATTGAAAAGTCATTTTGCAAAGTAATTTAAAAACTCTGCCATGGTAAAAATGCATTTTGGTTGTCTGTGGGTGCCCTCTTTCATGCTGCAGCTGCAGAGTTGTACAATCCAGCCATAGTACCACAGTGATGCCTGTGAAGCTTTTGTAGATATTTATGTCCTCTACATCTCTTATTCCTGCTGTCCATGGTCTTTTGACCTCCCTTCAGCTTATCTGTTTGGTTTCCTTTGCTACACCAGAGAGCTGAGAAAGTAAATCAGTAGAATTTTTTTTCTCTCAAGTCATGTCTCAGGCTTCAGTCTTTACTTTTTAGGAATTCAGTATTTCAGTTCTCTGTGGTGAGAGCAGCAGCTACCAGAGGACCCCCTACTACCCCTCACCTGTGCAGGAGGCAGGCTTTGTTCCAGTACTGCCCTGGATGAAGCTGCACTTTGCAATGGAGATCCCTGAACAAGAGCAGGTCTGAAAACCCACAGGATGAAGCACATGCCTTTGCAGAGGTAGCAGCTCAGGTTTGAAAACAGTACAGACATGTTTGCTCATTGTTACCCCCACCTGATGAACTTAGCTTAGTAACAGAAGCTGAAATCTTGTGGATGCAGAGGGAAGAGCTTTCTCATGCTATTTGAGGACTTTAGAAAAGGATTCACCTTTTTTCTTCTAATGATGTTGCAGCGTATCCCCACTCTGCACTCTATCAGCAGCACATCTTCAGCCAACACTGTAAAAAACCAACACTGTAGATTTAAATGACCCTACCTGACATAACCCTGACCAGACCCTATCAAGCCCAGTACCTGAGGAGGCACCCAACCTGCTGTTTGAGCAGAGAGTGGCAGAGAGAATGACCCACTCCTGAGAGAAAGGATTCCTGCCTGACAGGGTGCTCAGAAGCTGCGGCCATACAATGCAGGGACAGCCGCAGAGACCGGGGGATGTCCTGCTTCGCTTTGCACGGGTCACTGTGTTATGCTGAGATGTGACACTAGATGGTGTATTCGCCAAATGATTGGAAAAGATGGATCTTCCCAGTGCCTCTGGCACAAGGCTGATGGTAACTGTCCCATCTGCTGTGTAATCGCAGTACATCCTTCTCACAGCTTTTCACAAAAGTGACCCTTCCATGCAGGAGCCAAAATCCTTGTTCCCACAGCTGCCAGGATGGTAGTTTGAGACTTTGGCACTTACACATGTAGGTTTTGGGGATTTTTTTGACTGATCACATATTACGTTAACAAGTAATTTAGAAACAAGCAAACTTTAATGTCATACTGAGTTCAAGGGATGCTTGAGGTTGGATAGAGGGTGTATGTTATCCCACTCTTTGCATTGGTTGTCTGGTTTAAACATCCTTCTGATGTTTACTACATACTGAATGTCTGACCATGTATTTTATTATTTTTAGGGTAGGGTCTTAGACCTTGCCTACAAGGAATAAATGATACAGAATTAACTACACTGATTTAGAAACTGATTTAGTTAAATCAGTGCAACTCTCCTGAGCACTTTATACCACTTCAGTTTAAGTCATGAATCAGTGAGTAACAAATCAATTCTGTTGGCAGAGAGTGAGAAAGATTAGACTAGATCTTCAGCCCTTCTATCTCAGTATTTATTAGGCTAAGGCCTCTTCAGGGCTTGTTGCTGTTCTCTTTAATTTTCTCTGCCTAATGGACCTGATCCAGCTCTTTATGGCGTAAATGAGGGGTTTTCCATGACCTCCAGCTGGGAGCTGGAGATGACAATATCTCTATTAGAAACCTAGAGAGGCTTAGAATGACAAATAACTCAAGCTTGTCTTCTCCTTACTGCATACTGAGTTCTCAGATTGTGGCTCATATTGCAGAATTGCATCTGCAATGACAAATATATTATCCTACATTCTGGGCTGGAAAATTTATCCTCTAAAGACAGGAATCTCTACTAACATTGTGCTAGGCGTATCACTATGCAAGGAGTCATAATTTGATTTGATTTTCTCAACAACAGCTGACAACATATACTTTGAGGCAGGATGAAAATAATTCTTTTCAGGAATTTCCACAAATTTTGTGCATTCTGGTTGGATAGACTCAGGATTCAGGTTATTCCTGGTTTTGTAGCAGCTTAACCAGAAACTAGACTGATGTTGCACTCAAGCAAAAAAAGCATAAGTTTTTCAAAATGTGTTTCAAAAAGTCTTGCTTTATTTTGTTGCTGTTCTCTTGCTCTACCTTTCTTCACACTTGTACAGACTATTAATAATAAGAAAGATATCTGAGGATATGCTTAAGGATATGCTGAGTTCCACTCACTTAAAATTTTGCTTATTTTTCCCAGATCTTCTTCCTCCTGTCTGTAGAGAGCAGCAGTTGAACTCTTGGACTGTCTATTCCAGGGAGAGTGATTCACTTGTTTGCAAACCTAAGATTATGGTTTAGTCCAAAGTAATCTTTCTCATTCTGAATTGAACAGTTAATAGATTTGTAAACTCTGTAACCAACAATGTCCTGGCATACTCTTAAAATTCACTTACAGCTCCTGGAAATCTTCGTATTTCAAGTAGTGATGCCACCTTCTACTTCCGTCTCTGTGCCAACTGTGATTTCTTGTGTTTTTTTACAGGTGTATAATGGAACTTCCATCTTTGCCTAAATTTCTTTGGACAAGTGACAACAAGCTTCTGCATCACCATTTTCCAGACATACTGGCTACTGTTCATACCACACAAGACATCCCTGAAGAAGTTGTTTTTGGACCATGCATGCTCCAGAACACCTTGCTGGACACTGTAGCTTTCATTGCTCTCAAGTGTTCTGATAGACGGAACATTCACTATGTATTTAAGGTATGAGAAAAATCGGAATGATTAATGTTAGACCTTTCAAAAAGAGTTACACCATTCCTGAGAAGATAACTTTGCAAGGGGTAGTTTTTGTTTTGTTCACCACAAGTAACATCTTCAAAGATAAAGGGCCAGTGCATTTCTGATTTATGAGCTGTAGACTGGAAGGACCTAAGGAAAACTCTATACTTTGCAGGAAGAATACAAAGTCCCACTTCTATGCTACATGCTTCAGATCTGACTTGGAATAGGAGGGAAGAGGGACAAATAGATTAGTAATCTCTAGTTCAGCTTTTGTCAGGACAAAGGAGGTTTGTCAGGCGGTGTGACAGCCCTGTGATAACAGAGGGGGAAGACTGTGGCATTGCACTGATTCATGCAGGTGGTGCATTCACAGCATTTATTTACAGATCTAGGCAACTGCTACCCCAGTGTGTTCAGTTATCCTTAAAAGTGAAACCATAATGGCAGTCAGGCAACTAGCCCACACACACTTAGGGCAGCCACAGCTTAACTGCTATTAGTGCATGGACTTCCTAAAATTGCCTTAGATCTGTATGTCTGTGTTACAGCTACACTCTTCAATCACTGTAGGGAAGGCAGAAACCCCAGGATTGTAATGGACTGTGAACTCTTAAGCTCTAGTTCACCAAATTATTTTGGTTTCATAGTCACTGTTTATCATGCTGACCACTTACCCTGTCTTTCTGGGTCTTGGAGTGCCTTTCAGTCACTGTTGGTCTAAATGAAGACAGGGAGGTGTTTTCCAGTGTGAGGAGAGCCAATTTCCCACATTCTATGGCATGGATGGATCTGAGAGACATCCAGGTTTGCCTAAGATTTCTGTGCTCTGGAGGAGAGAAATCCCAAGGCACATGTGTAATATGGAAGATACAGTTGTTGGGAGATAACCTGTTCTACACTTCTGCTTTAAATAAGAGAGAGAAGAAGAGGCTTCAGGGTTTATCTGACTGTTTTGAGTCTCTGGCACAAATTTGATTTCTTGGAAGGTGCTATTAATACTCCAGGAGACCAACAAACTATTTGGAGAGAGACCTGCCTTGAAATAAGACTTTATTTTTGGAATATTTCTGTATTTCTCCTGGGAGTTTTGAATTACTGTAGAGAGAGCCTCAAAGGTTTTGTACATTAGAAGAGCCCTCTAGAGGGATGGCTTTAGTGTTTTTCTACACTTGAGCTAAGTAATTGCTATGCAGCAATGAAATTGGATGCCTGAGTTGGCTCAGATCTCTCTCTTTTGGCAGTATATACATGAAATTCTGTGCAAGTAGCTGTTTCAGATGCAATTGGTAGTCCCATATCCTGTTAACTACTCATAATTAAAAGTAAACCTCCCAGAAATCAGGAACTACCATTAGGCTCCTAACTGTGTGTAGTAATTAATTAAAAATTCAATCATGATGTTATGTTGTCATCATGGCACTGAAGTGCAAAACAAGAAATGGGTTTTGCTCTGCTGGGTGTAGTACGAGCAGAATACACACAGAAATGAATTGGCAAGGTGGATTCATTGCAACTGAAGTTTCTGTTCATCCTTGTTCATCTGCAACTCCTGCAAGACTTTGGGGAATATATTTTCTAACAAAGGTTTCATCATCTTGGGCTTTTTTGTTTACAACAAAGGAAAACTTCATAATTTTTTTTCACACATTTTCTTGGAGACCTTAATTTGAGCTCCTTGGCCCAATTGGTGCACTTGGGCAAAGAAGATGCCTTGGCAGCCATTGGCACAGGTAGTTCTTTCCAGCTGATTCCTCTGCTGCTTACAGCTTCTTTGGGGTTTCAAGGAAGAGACTTATTTTCTCTCTTCTCTTCCAGCATCTCCTGAGGGAGCCACATACCTCCACAGCCCAGCTATGACTGAGATGCTGGGCTGTGAAGGCCTTACCTCATACATGGGTGCAAAGGATCCATCTGGGGGATTGACATCTCCAGGAGAGGGTGGATTTTCTGGGTTTATAGTGTCTCTAAACACATGGGAAAACTAAAGCTGGTTCGTGATTCTAGTTGGCAGCACCCAGATCTTATCTTACTCCTTCTCACCTACTTGAAGCTCACTGAGCTCTTTCCCCGGAGTCCTGGTGGAGCTGTGCTCCCTTTGACTTTGCTGAGAGCACCGGGTGGCTGCTCAGTATTTCTGAAACACAGCAACTAAAATATGACAGCCTCTGTCATAGCTATTAGTTACAGCCACTGTGTGTGGGTGGGTGTTCCTGTGTTGCTGTCAGGCACTTGTATTTCTCAATCATTGTTAATTACCATGGCATTTAGAGAGAATCAGTTTCAGGGCATGCTAATTTATTTTTTCTCTTACACTAAGTAACTTTCATCCTAATGGTCTCTTAATGTTTCATTCTTGTATCCAAGCTACTAATGTGATCAAACTTTTCATGGTAGGTAATAGTCAGTTAAAACCATAGAAATAATTAGTCAAAATATTGTTTCTGGTACCAAACACCAATGAATGGCTGCCCTGCAATTATTGGAAAAGAAAGAGCTATACATTGCTTGGGGTGAAATTTAGATCATACTTGTCATTAAACATTTTTCATTTGCAAATTTTTCCTTTCTAAACAATGACTTAGTGCTTCAAAAATTAGTTTTTAGGCATATAAACGTTGCCTTTGATCACCCTGTGTTTTAACCTTCAAGCTATGAAAATCCCTATCTTTCAAATGCTGCAGAGGGCACAGACCTGCTGTGGTAAACACCAAGGAAAAACCTATAAAGAAATAAATCATTCCCTATTCAGTGTAGTAAAGTAACTAAGATTGGAGTAACACACTGTGTGAGGAAGACGATGCCAAATGTTTTGTACTTGCATTATTTAGTTGTCAACCTGTGATTAAATGACTCAGGAGTCCTGTGGAGTAAAAATTATATGTGATTTAGGACTATGCTGTGATACACACACAGAATGGAAATTTAATTTGAGCAATAGACTTGATATTATTTTTTAAACTTTTTAGTGCCTGACCTTATAGCCTAAGAAATGTTTTTAAACCTTATTTGTTGGGTATATCTGCATGCACACAAATTGAAAGTAAATCAACTTGCAACTCTCAGAAATTATTTAAAAAAAATACTGATCTCATGAGGTTTATCTGTTTAGGTACATTGAAATTAATTGAATTTATCTAGCAAATGTAAAAAAAGAATATATAATTTTATTTCTGAAAAGAAGGAAAGAGGGCATATAAGTGCTTCTTAGTTGTACATATTAAAATCTGTATTTTATGTAATCTAGCCAAACAAATATGCAGATGTTTACTTGAGGTGTTGAATCAAATAACCATGATTTTCTTACACTCCTGATCCATATCCTCTTATGTCAGGAAAACGCCACATGCAGCTGTCCTGAGTGTATGTTCATTCCCAGTTTTACACTGCACTGATCCAGAGGTCTGCACCTCTCTCAGTCCCCAAGGCACAGCACTGGCACGTCGCCTGACTCATTTCCCATTTTCATATGCTGAGGACTGAGACTCCTCCTTAGAGAGGCTCACACCTCCTGTACCTCTGTGATCCACGCCTGGCACAGTCCCATGGGACGGTCTGCACAGGACAGGGCCAGAGACTGACCAACATCTCAGGCCTGGCTTTGCCATGGAGGTTACACATGAACATTGGTGTCTCCTCCTCCCTCCCACACAGCTGCATTCCCAGAGCTCTCAGCCCCCACACTGGAGAAGCCTTTGGATGCCTTTGGATTTGGTAGCACTGGCAGATGTATTTGGCTCACAGCTTTGTCATATCTGCTCAGGGCAAGGCAGAAACCAGGCTTTGTTCTTGGATTGGATGAAAATCTTCCTGTGGGCTTTGAGACCTGTAACTGCCCTTCTTTGTGTCCTGTCCCACAGGTGGATGTTACGTCTGTGCACAGTCCCACAGGACTGCCTTGGATGAGACTCGTACAAGCAGCTGCCAATAGCAAGGAGCAGAACTTGGAAGCTTACTTAGAAAACAGTCAGTTATACTATCGCTCCACCAGGAAAATCAGCAAAAATGAGGAACTGCTTGTCTGGTATGATGAGGAGCTTTCCAGCCTCTTGGGTTTCAATGAGATAAAAGCTCAAAGGCCCCAGAATGGTAAGTGCTGAATTGCTGATTGCAGGGGTCACTGAGGACAGAAGGGAGTCTGCATCTTCTTTAGTCTGTGGTTGTCTTGTAATAATACAAAACATGTGCAAATCCTTAGCTGGTCTGCTGAGAGAAAAGACATTCTGCTTTGAGGTTTGAGCTGGAGGCACAGAGCAAGAAGCAATTTGCAGTTCTTAATGCCATTCTCATTGGTACTTTCTAGCAGAGGATGGTGCACTAGGGATTCATGCTGAAATTTTTGAGCTATGCAATGGAAATCTATGCACTTTGATAACTTAGAATCCTAAAAATCTAAAGTATCAGCTGGAAATAGGCCATTTTTAGCTTATTGACAAATCAGGTATAGGCTAGTGTCCAGCTTTAAATTTGTAAATGAGCAGATCTTTAAAAATACATAACAAGCCTAACAGTATTGCATGCAGCACAGTCTGCCTATTTCATGTGGGACACAGTGGTAATGAGGAAAAGAGCAAGCTTCAGTTTCTGAGATGTTGCTGAAAATTCATTGCTCCAAAAGAAATTGATCTGGAAATTGTTACAAAACTAAAAATCTAGATTACAGAGACACCAAGCACGTTAGACAGGTCCATACCAGCTCTGACTCCAGATGTCATTTACTCCAAATATTGCATAGTTAAACTAGAACAAAAACCCTTTCTACATTCCCTTTAGTTAAGTTAAACAAGGCATATATAGATTAGATAGTAAAGATGTAGGTTGATAAAGTTATGCATCAGCAAATTCATATGGTAATGTGTTTGTCTGTAAATTAGTATTAAATTAATTCAGACACATTCATAACAGGAACCAACTAAATCATTCCAGCTGTTTTCAGTGTATTCTGTTAGTTTCTGTGTAGATGCACGCTGCCAGCCCTTTGGATTTACCAGGGAAGAGTGGTGCTTGCACAAGAAACACTGTATCTAGACTCAAGACTTTAAACTCATAGGTATAATGTTCCACCCATTTCAGCAGCCTTATTTTCGTATAAAAAGTTCAGCTGTAAAGTAAAGTGTGTAAAGTGATATAAGCTGTGCTGAGTCTCAAATTAGGAATTTTTGATTCTACCCAACCAATTAATGAACTTTCCTATATATCCCAGGCCTCAGGTGCTGTCTGTCATCCCTTGCATTGTAAAACTGCTGTGTTGCGAAATAACGTAACGTGGTTACCAGGGTTAAGATGTACCATATTTGTGTTGATTGCTGAATTTTGTACCATCTGTTCATGGGCAGTCAATCATCCCAATGAACCAGAGGTGTAGTAGGTCTGAAGACCACAAGGAAAGAATGTTCCTTATTCCTCCTGCCTATCACTGGCATTGTTTCAATTTGAACGTCATTTTCTGTGCCATAGACTGTGCCTTAAGGTATATAACAGCTTGCCAAATGAGCATGAATAAAGGCTTCAGGCATTAAGGTCAGATGATATTTGAACGGTATTAAACTTCCAGAGTATCCTAAAAATAGAGTCATGTAAAAATCTTTGAATCCTGTTCTAAACCTCATTATTGCTTGGATACATAGTATTTAACATTCATCCGGAATGAAAGCCAGTGACTTAGTTAAGAAATGTAGGCCCAAATCTGGGTTTAGACTTCAAATCATTATGAACTCTAAATGGTTTTATCTAGATCATGGTGTACTGGCCATTTTATGTACTTTTATGTAATATAATTACATTTTATGTAATAAAATTTAGGCTTGAGAGTCTAAATGGAATACTTCTGCCAGTAGCACGGAAGCATGGAAGCAAATAAGAGTGAACCATTTTGCATAGCAGGAAGGGACCTGATTCTGCACTGGCATTAATTTTACCGTGTGTAACCTTGTATGACACAATTTTTGTGTCAATCACAGGATCAGGATCTGCATCCACCCATGATTCCACCTTTGCAAAACTCATCACTTGTTGTCTGTTTCTGCAGAGTTGAGATGCCAAGAATGCGACCGAGTCTTTAAATGTGAGCATTCCTATCTGTCCCATGTCCGCTTCCTCTGTGTCCCAGAGAAGAGTGCTCTGCTGTGGAGAAACTTCCAGAACCCTAAAACTGAAAAGAGCAGCCTAGCTGAGCAGGCCACGAATTTCCACAGTCTAGCAAGAGACCTGGAAGTCAAAATGGCAGCTTGTAAAGATGATGCACATGGTCTTATTGGAGAAAGGAGAGCAAAATCTGAGGAGGCTGAGAACAACAGGAGCAGGAAAACAGTGCTGTTGGAGAAAACCAATAATTTGACTGAGGAACGTAACTGTGGGGGCAAGGAAGAGGTTGGGGGAGAGCATGCATTGGCTGGTTCTTTCAGGAAGCTTAGTTCAGGGAGGCAGTCAGCTAGGAAGGATGCTTTAGAGCAGAAGCAGAGTGCTTTCACTGAGGTCAGGAGGATGAAAGAGAAGCTGAGGAATGAGAGACTGCAGGAGCCAGAGCAGGAGGATGGCACTGCCCCACTTGGTAAAGAGCAGGTGCCAAAGGAAGTGTTGCTGAACTCCTCTGGCAGTGCATTCTCCTTTGTTTGGCCCACCAGAGCTCGAGGAGAACAGAAGAGTGCTTTCAGCAAGCCCAGTAAGTGTGTAATAGAAAGAGCTGCAGTAAATTCTTCTCATCCCATGAGTGAGTCAACAAAGAGCCTGGGGGAGCTGTCTGGCTTCATTGCCACCGCAGACATCATGTGCTGCAGCAGTCTTCTCAATTCCAAGTTCTTTGTCAGTGATTTGTGTAATGCTCAGATGCTGCAGACAAGCATCACTCGGAGCAATGTTTTCCCATATACCTCAGAACCCTGGCTCAAGCAAGCAGGAGGACAGTTACAAAACACCACCACCACCACTTCCTCCTCTTCCTCCTCCTCCTCCTCCTCTTCCTTGACTCTTCTTCCCCCCACCTTCACATCCTTTGGAGTGGCTGCCCAGAACTGGTGTGCCAAATGCAACCTGTCCTTTCGCATGACATCTGATTTAGTCTTCCACATGCGGTCACATCACAAAAAAGAATACTCCTCAAGTGAATCCCAGTGCAAGAGGAGGCGAGAGGAGAAGCTGACATGCCCCATTTGCCATGAGTACTTCCGAGAGCGCCATCATTTATCCCGGCACATGACTTCTCATAATTAGAGCTATGCAGACAGATGTCACCACGGGACCAGGCAGGTTGGATGAAGAAGGGAATGATAGTTCACTTAAATCCATTTCTTTTTGAGTTTACATTAATTTCTTCCAGGAAATCACTGTTTACAATAATTTATAATAGATGCTTTGTGAAAAAAAAAATAAAATGTTTACAAGAGTCTGAGTGGGTTTTAAGTTTTGAAAACTCAACCTAGCCCTTATCAATCTATTTTTGAGGAAATAAAATAGTGAAATGAATCCACATGCTGTGTTAATTTGCAGAGTAGGGGCACAATTATAGATTTTTGCAAACAAATTTGTCTTTGCTTATATTTGATTTGCTGGTGTCTGTGCAGTAGAATTTAAATATGGAAATAACAACTGCCTCATTGAATGAGGAACCTTTAGCATTAGAAAAATCAGAGCTTATATGTTAAAAGAAGATATGTTGCTATTTCTAGCAGCATTGGTGGACTCTTATTCCTTTATATTAGCTGAATCAGTTCTCTTACCAAGTTTTTGAGTTAAAAACTGACATCTTACAATCTCCTTGGCTTTGAAAGGGACCTGATTTTAAGAATAAATCTAAAATTTAGATAAATAAATCTATGATTGTCAACAACTGACCGTCAGACTGCCAAAGAGGATGGAACTTGTAAAGCAGAATATCCAAATTCTGTTCTAGGCTCTGCAGCTTTTGAAATGTCTTTTACACAATGAAATCAACATGGGTCTGTATCAAAATGTGAGCTGTTGTCAAATACTCTAAGACCTTTGTGACTTTAGTAGGCATACAGATCTGATGGGAGTAGAGTTTAACCTGTGGTTTTCAGGTTCTGGATATACCAAAAGAAGCAGTTAGGGTATCTGAGTTACTATTAGCTACTGATAATAGAATCTGCACACTTTAATTGTGGATGATAGGCTCTGTTCTGGTAACTGCTAGAAGAGAAATACAAAATGACACAGGTGTACATGAATTGCACTGCATTTGTACCACCTTGTCTGTCCTCTGGTTTCTACATGGGCTAATTCCACCTTTTTAAAAGAGAAAGTGGCATATTCTTTCTCTTGCCTGTCCATGAGACATGTTTCTTTTCTCTACTTTTTCAAGCTTTACAGAGTCTCGGCAGCAGATAAATTTATACTGTTCAGAGTGGGAGGAAACACTGTCTATTGTTACTTCAGCCCATCTAATTAGCATTTCATTACTTTTTAAATCCATTTAGGGGCTTCATTTTGATAGCTTATGACACTTTGTTCTTTAAGCAATCATTTCTTCTGCTCTTGTATAGTATTTTTTCAGGTTGTCTGATATTTTTTGTGGCCTGCCTTTGAACCTTACCAGCCTCATCAAGGGCTGCTATTCCCATTCAGTCAGAGAATGATCAGAAACCACTCATTTCCCAGCTGAGGGTAAAGGACATTTCAATATGCTCTATATGTTCCACCATACTGCTGATACACTCCAGTGGTTTTTGAATACTGGACAGAATTCTGAATTACCATGACGATGCCTAGCCTGATAATGCAAGTATCAGCAAGTAAGTACATTTGAACAAAAAAGAGAGACTGACAGTCTTAGGCTGTCAGCTGGAACTAACATGAAACACTCACTGTCACCTCTTGAGAGATTTCTGTAAGTCAGGAGATTGCATTCTTCCCAATATATTTATGTTGAACATTAATACATGGCTCTTTCCTATTAATAGAAACATTTTTATTATTGCAGGCTTTATTTTTGAAACATGAATTGATAAAACTATTGCATTATGCCCTTGAGTTCAGGAGACAGTTCTAGTTGGATTGTAACACAGCTTTTCAAGGTCAGTGGTAGAAGCTCTTTCAATTGAATCATTAAAACACAAAATGAACGAAGACTTTGAAACATGGAACACAGGGAACAACCTTGCATTGAGTAGGGGATGGTGTGGTTTTCTTGTAATCGTTCCATCTCTATTTTGTGTCCAATAACATTTGCTGTGTAAGGAATATATTTATGGCAAAGTTTAATGGGCCAAAATTCACTCCACCTGGGTGCCAGCCAGTTTACTGTGAAGTCAGTGTCCATAAAGTGTAATGAAGGACTCTGTAGTGTAACTGTATTCATATGTGGTCAGGGTTATATTTCCCATTAGTAGTTTAGGCCAGATTGTGATCTCATTTATTCCAGTGAAAATCCAGAATAATTCCATGTTGCTACTCCTGATTTATATTAATTACTTTAAGATCAGCCTGGCCCAGTATAAATAAGACTAGAGATTTTTTGGTACCATTACTGCAAAATGTTCTTTTCTGTACTTACTGAAAGATGCCATGTTTTCTTAGCAGTTTTATGATTAGAAACCTAGCTTCAGATTTCTTCTGGAAAAAGACAGGACTAGCTGTATAATGCTCCCCAGTATTATTTTGGCACATCACTTCAACTTTACCCTGCTCCAAATGCCTGTTTTTCCAGTGCACTACACCTGGTGTTTACTTTAGATCAGAATGAAACAGTACCAAATCTTACTGGTTACATGGTTTCACTGATTTTGTGCTGGACAAAGTGTAGAAAATGAGCCACTGAAAAACAGATCCTGAATCTCAAAACTCTTCAAGTAGTGTGTTAGACCTACAGCCTAAGAGTTCTCACCAGTAATCAAACTTCTTCACTTTGCTTATACTATGAGGCTTAAGCAGGCAGCCAGGTTACAGGGAGAAATAGCTTCACTTTACATCATGGGAAAAAAGAAAAGGTAAGAACTCTTACCCAGTTTCCTTGTGGGCATATCTCAGCCACAGCAGTTTATATGGTCTGATGCCAAGCAATGAAGGAATGCCTTCTGTGCACAGAGTGAGTGCGTTATGAGGAGAAGCAGTTAGGAAAAGTGGCAGAGCTGGTTCAAAAAGCAAAAATGAGGAGAGGTTTTTAATAAGCTTGATTTCTCATACTTTCCTCATGTCCTCCAGCTCAGGGGTAGTGCACTGTGGTCCTGGTCTGTAAAGATTGAGGATTTCTCTCTTGCAACATGGAAATCACACTGCAGGCAGTGTGTACAATGCTGTCCTTGTTTTTTTTTTTGTTGTTGTTTGTTTGGGGTTTTTTTTGGTTTTTTTTTTTTTTTTGTAGGTGGCCATCAGCATAAAGATTGCATTAACAAATTGCTTCTTCTATGTATAAAACCAGTGTAAGCCTTCTTGTGCAGGCACAGTGAAAGTCTTTTACGTGTCTCAGATTTAACTGAGTGTCTCATCTAAACTGGGTTACATAAACCAGGGGTCTTATCCAAAATTTTTGGAGATTTTATTTCTTTAAATGAAAATACTCATATTAGAGCTGAGCGAACCAAATATTGAAAAGGCAGAAGGAAGCCTAACAAGACAAAGAAAAACAAACTTCCTATAATTGAGTCATGCTGGAAGCTTATTTCCCCTTATGTCTAGAAGTCTGAAAATTTAAATTGGTGCAGATGAAATCCTGCTGGAAGGAAAGCACTCCACTAGAACTGGAGGTTTGTGAAGACATGAAGGACTGCATTCTGTCCCTGTGAAATACTGTGATTTTACAGCAGGGATCTCTGTCTTTTCTTCGAGTAGAAATTCTAGGGAAGAGGGAAGAATTATTTTATTGTTAAAACAAGAGGAGACAATTTGCAGTGGGATGACTGGTTCTGTTCCTGTCTTTGCTAGCAACTAACTGTTAATTTTGATCAAACAACTGTTTCTCATGACATGTGTTTCTGGATCAGTGAAGAAGGACACACACAGTGCTGTCAAGCTGTGCAGGCTGTGTTTCTGCAATCCATAATGAATTTACTGATAGGAAATGCCAGATTACAATATTTGTTCACTCACTGATCATTGATTCCTGATTTTTTTCCTGATGAAGATGTGTTTTTCCATTGAAAGGACATTCAGATGTGCTTTTGAGAAATATATATTTGCTTGGTTTTTAATGAGGTAATTTTTCACTATTCAAGGCAATTTGTACACTTCCTTGGCTCTACAGGGCACTATCACAGCTTAGAATTCACTTTGATCCCTTTCGGCTTGGCTGGAGGGAGCTGGCAAAATAAGGAATGGGAACAATGGTCTAGCCTGGAAAATAAGAACTTATTAATAATGAAAATAACAAACGTGGAGACTGCAGGTTACAGAGACAAGGACCAAAGACCTGTGGGCAGGGCAGACACAGCCAGGTGTAGGGGCAAAGGTCCAGTAATGAACGTGAACTCGGAACATGACCTTATTTGAAAAAAGTCCTGAACCAACTGAGAACAAGAGCCAGAAGCTTGACCAAATACAGGGTAGTTCTTTCAGCATACCAGCTCCTAAGAGCCCACAGTTCCCACTGTGCCCTGACCAGGTGTCCTCTCAGTGTACAGTTTGCCAGGGTCTGAGATTAAAGCCTTCTGTGGATGCATCTGAGGTGAAAATCTCAGCTGGATCAGATCCCACAGGGCACAGTGTGGAAATCACTGGACCAAGGCAGCACAAAAGAAATAAAAGCTGGCTGTCGTTTTTTGGTTAGGGTTCTGTGAATGCTGAACGGAGAGAGATGATACTGCTAGGCAGTCTTAATACAGGAACTCCTTTCTTCCTGCCTTTAAAATTAGGGTTAAAATTCAGGAAGTTATTCTAGGTGGGATGATATGAAAATGGTGCTGTAAACTGTAGAATGTCCATGTCAGCTCTGGAACCAGATGAGAGAAGGGTGGCAGTTTCATCATGTTTCCTGTTGTGTTCTGGAAGGGCACTTCCCAAATTGCTTGTCCCTCCCTAAAAACCTTCTAAATTTCTCATTTAAACCACAAACCATGGATTTCCATAACTAAATTGCATTTGTGCTTTTGTGATTTTCAGACCTTTCAATGCAGTGCAATTTTCTACACAATTACTGACTGTAGTTCTGTGAGGTCTAAACTCATTGAGCTGAGCATAACTATGACATAGCAGTTTGTGAAGACAGGAAAAATTGCTTTTAACACACTGGCCTTTGTTAAGCCTGGCACTTTTAATATTAATTAGCCAGTACTATGAAATAGCAAATAATATTTTGTCAAGTAATAAAATTTCTCAAGGTTGCACAATAGTTTTTCGCTGGAATTGATCACTTTTGTGAACTAACAGCATTATTGATTTAAAATGGACTCACCAGCAATTGCATCTTCATTGTTTGTTTTTTCCAAGTGGATTTCAATTTCTAGACATATTTATTATGCATATGTATTTCCCATATTACTCTGGGAAGAATTTATTTGCTATTTGTGCCCATATGGTGTAGCTTTTTGTCCTTGAATGGATGGCTAAAGTTTCTAAGCATTTGGCTTAACAATTAACATTGTACATGACAGCACAGCTGATTGTTTTTTGGGAAAACAAAGCAATTTATCTGGATCATTGAGGTACTAAAGAGGCTTAAAAGACATTAGAAGAAATACATTAGTGTTGTTTACTCATTCATTGACTACTCCATTTTTTTACACATTAAGAGTATTTAATATTCTTCATACATATATCGCTTTACATGAAATTCTGTATGGGATTTAATTAATTAAAGTATTTTCCACAACACTGAGAAGTTTAACAACAAGCTAGTTCATAAAAATCAGAACATGAAAATGTCTCAAAAGAGTTCAGGTTAGCAATCACACTGAATGTGTGATAAGCCAAATAATAAAAAGGATGGAAAATCTATTTCTTAAAATTTTCTGCCTGTAAAAACTGGAAGTCAAGTGTTTAACACAATTTATAAAAAAAAAAAAAAAAAGGCAGGAACTTACAAATGAGCGAATCAACACCAAAGTGTTACTGCTGTAGACTCTAACTGAATTTTGGGAGACCGTTCCCCTAATTTAATTACCTTACAGCTGGCATTTTGTAGAGATGAGAAAATCTGAGATCTAGATTAAAGTTACACATATTTCTAAATAGTTACAGAGATACATGTTTAACTAAGAATAGTAAGAAAGACAAGGAATGTTGTGCATTAAGCTCATGTCAATATCTCTGTGAGTTATCCTGGAATACATTATCACTTCATATGTAGCTTGATAGCAGGGTGCAAAGGATATTTTTCAGGTTTTTTTTTTTTTTTTTCCTGTCTTTGGAGCAGGACAGAGCAAAATAATTTTAGCCCTAAGTTTAAAAACATATGATTCTTTTCCTTGAGTCAGTTGATCTGGGCACTGGGTAGAAGAGTCAATGTACTGCCTTTGTCCTGCTCATCCTCCCCTCTGACAGACACAGAGAAGCAGGCATGTCCCTTTCAAATACCAGGAGTCTCACACACCCTGACAGGCTGGGAATGGTTATTTTTGGTACATCTAAATAATGAAATGGAGAAAATACTTAATTTGGTTCTTGCAGTTTAGAAAACAGACTCTTCCAACTACTGCTCATTTTTAAAGACGTATAAATAGGAATATACAGCATTTCCAAAGAAGAAGAGCCTTTTCTTGTCTTTAAAGTTGTTCACATGCTTTCAATACTGACAACTGGGATTTTCTATGGGATGAAAGGAGATCTGTGATTGGTAGCTACACTTCAAAAAAACTTACACATTGAACATTTATGTTTGATTACAGGAGAGGAATCCAGAAACCCCAGTGAATTATTGAAGCATTTCAACCATGCACAGAAAGAGCTGGGTTCCACAGAATGGGGAAAAATCCCAGCATGTTGGAAAGAAGTCACTTTGAGCTATGTACAGGGACCCAATCACTGACCATAGAGATTGAAATGAAGCTCCCACTTCTTTCTAGAGTTTACATTTGGGTAGCTAGCTTTCTTTTCGTATGAACTAGGGATGTGTTCCTCTAATGGGCTATCTTGAGCTGTGTAGGTGAGCACTGAGCATCTCTTTTGCTTTGATGAGTGCTGTTTCAGCTGGTGTTTCTATGTGAGGAGAGACTCCTTTCCCTTCCCAGGAGGTGCTGTCTGCAGAGGTGACTGATCTGGAGGTGGGGATGACAACGTAGAAGTTGGTTTCATCTACCTGGTATGTCTGTGGGGAATGGCAGCCACCACTGGTCTGCTCCCCAATGATGAGAGCTCTGCTCAGTCTCTTCATTATGTATACAAACTCTTCAGCAGCCCCAGCTGTCACAGCACTGGTAAGGATTACCAGCCCCTTCTGAGAGCCATACCTCTCCCCTGTAAGGTAGGAAAAAAACCCATCAGAAATGAATCTATTTTTCAGAGATTTATTTATATAATAGAGCAAAGAGAAGACAAGATAGAGGCTTTGCTCCCTACCTGCTATTAACAACCCAAGAGGTTTGGAAATTTACTTTGTGCCTATGATAATATTAAAATACTTCAACACTAGCCCAGACTATATACTGTAAGAAAAGGCTGTCTCCCTGTGGTGCTTTTGTGCTCTCTCAGTTTTTGGTTATGAGCTCCCTAAGTAGCTCCATAAGGAGAGAAGTCAGCTCATGATTACTACTGTTAGCTCTTCTGTGGCTTTGACTTTTGCAGGAGCTCCAGATCTCATCAGAATAGCAGAATAGACAGGTGAGAAAGATTATATTTTTCACCATTGCAGCAAAAGTAGTCAAAACTCATCCAGAAGCATCATCAGTTTCACCCTCATCCCTGCTCTAGGAACATGACTGTTGTAGAGCTTGGCCTGCAACTGTGTAGGCATTATTTTATGAAATTACAATTATAGTGGTTTCCCACAGCTTTCCTATAGCTTGTAATTGGATGCTATACATGGCCTTTGTCCCAAACCCTCCAACCCTCCAACAACTACCCCTTTATTATTAGGAGCTGAGCCAAGTATCTCATTTTCTTACATAAAACAGCTGACAGGAGTGGGAGGGACTTTGAACCCTATTTTCAATATATCTGAACGTGCTAGATACTTTTTGATTGTTTAGTTTCTTTGAAAAAGTGACCAGTGGGTAATAACTAGGACTTGATAGCTTGAAAACTAAACTGCTCTAAAAATGTTCATTTATAAGTAAGTAATAATATGACATATAATTCTCATGCTAAATTCTAAGAGAGGGGCCCAATAGCATGGTAATTAATTGTCACACCATCTTTGGTCTTCTTATTTCACTATAAACATAACCATTAAAATACTCTTCACAGTAGATATATGTAATACAGATCCAGGCCCTTTGAAGTTAATATGAGTCTGCCTGTTCTCTTTGATGGGAACTGGAGTGTGTCCATAGAAATCATATCCCTAAGCACAACCCTCCTCTGACTGCCTGGGAAAATAGATGGACCCTGCAGACTGGGACAAAATTTAACCATTTCAGCATGATCCAGGCCAGCAACTGCAGACACCATTATCTTTTTTGCTACTGTCTTAGCTTAAGAGGGGATAATAATTAAACCCCATGTTTAAGGTTTCTTAGCACTCTAACTGCAGTCTATGAACACTGAAGAGCTCTGTTTCTGCATGTTGCAGCATCCTTTCAGCTTCCACAAACGGGCAGGGTATGTGTGGGGTGTGTGTGACATATTACCAAATGCTTCAAACTCATCTAGATGTACAAAATTTTGTGTTTTTCTTTCTCTTGTCCGGACAAACTGGGGTATTACGGTGTTTTCATCTCCTGATGATGTAGAGGATTACACAGGCAGGTCATAGGGAACAATATATAAAACTCTATGGGAGTGATGAAGAGACCTTACTAGAGGTCCAGGCAACACTGGATTAATTTTTAATTTTGGCAGCTTTTAAAAGCAACAAGTTACAGCTGCTCTACACAGTATTTGGCTAAATTTCTGGGGACCAATTTACAGACCTTTGTGCCTAACATACCCCATTTCTAGGAGTGATAAACTGTTATTTGCAGATGGCATTGAATGACATGGCTGAAATGCACATTTTTTGTTTCTACATTCTCTACACAGCCTGAGCTGATCATGGCAGGTGCTTTCACCTGAGCTACAGGATTTAATGACTCACTTTAAAATGACAAGGAGTGACATCTGAAATGAAAAGCTACTCTGAAAAGAAATTGTCATTTACCTTTGAGCTGTGGCTGGGTCCATATCTCCTTTACTGAGTCACTGGGTCTGTCATAAACTCTGTCCAAGAGAACTGGGTGTCCTTCATCAAAGAAATATGAGCATAGGATTGCTATGGGTGTAGTGGAGCCTCCAATATTGTACCTTTTTAAAAAAATAAAAATATTAAGGGAATAAGTGAAAATTTGTGTCAGGCAGTAAATCTCCCTTCCAAATATTGTTCCTTAATATCAGTCCCTAAAAAGGCTTATGGCAACATTTTGATATATTTATATTCACTCTCCCCTATCAGCATTTTCACATCTATCAGGTAAGCGAAGTCGTGTCTAAGAGTGTTGGACTGTTATTGCCCACAACTAATTTCCAAAGCAAACACAAAACTTAAAAGTCTATTTTTTTTCTTGATGTTACCTAGAAAAAAAATCAGAAAGTAAGCAGACTCTGGATCTGCAAAGAAACATCAGATTCTTGTTATTCTCCTCTAAGTAACCCATTCTGTTCCTGACATAGGCAGCAAGGAGTGAATACCTAAATCCTAATACATAAACGTAGATTCCAGTTAAAGCAACATATGTTTGTAGAACTGTTGTGTTCTTATTTTTTGATACACAAAATGAGAAAACTTAGTGGTTTTAATGAGGTAATTTTTTTTTGTGCCTAAAGACTGTGTTGGTTGCTTTATTTAGCAAAGTCGTAATTGAAAACTTTGGTTGCAGTTTAATTCCATAGCAGTCTCTGAAGATTAATTTCACTGAACACCCTGTCATTGGAGAATTCCTGCTATGAATACATATTTAACTACCAAATATTTTTGCCTGTCACTTTTCATTAATATTAGAGCACATACAGCTCTAGAAATGTTTGTACTTTACTTACTGATAGTCTGGATTCAGTACTTTCCTGTAGGTGATTTTAGAAGTACTTAGCACAGGCATTCCAGAACAAAACTGCTGGAAAATGAGTTTATTCAGTTCAATCTATGGCTAAGATTTTTCACCTCCAGAAAAGGGTCTGTCAATCCAGGAGGGCTCTGTTCTGAAGAGTGGAAGATAGGTCATTATTCTTCAGCATTAGGGAGCTGTGCGACTGACGGTGTGACTGGCTAGAAGTGAAATAACCATCCCCAGCGTGTCCCTGATGGGGTGGTGCTGCCACAGGTGCTGCACAGCCCAGCATCCATCCCAGCCCGCCCCGCAGAGCCCTGGTCCCACGGGTGCCATCAGGGCTGAAAATGGTGGCAGGCAGGGCATTGCTCCTCCTGGGACTCTTGCAGACGGTGAAACTGCAGTAACCTCAGTAATAACGACTGAGCAGTTGGCAGAGTTTTAGCTTAACTCTTGGATGCTCCTTCTTATAGGTGTCTTATGTGACCTCAGGGAGGCCTTTCAGTTTATCAGTGTCTCCTATCAATGCTGTGAGAGTTAAAAATACGAAGTTCATGAATGTCACAGCTGTTCTATGAAGGGGAAGTATTAAGGCGAGAGACATTATGCATTATTGTTAGTCCCATGCAAAATTGAAATTATCCAAATATGAAGTTCATGAGTGACCCAGATGTATCAGGGAGGAAAACTTGTAAAATGAAAAACATTATTCATTATAGTTAATCCCATGCAAAATTTAAATCATCAGTCTTAAAATTATAGTATTGACTAACAGAGAATTTCAGAATTTCTTTGGGGTTCTCTTTTGTATACCTTCAGAGACTGGGTCTTTTATGTGCCCTCAAAGGACTGAAAATACATAAAATATAAAAAATAAACCAAAACCAAACAACACATGAAAAAAGCTATAATGATACCATTTAGTATCTGGGATGTGATTTCATCTTTGCTGTTTCAGTGCCCCCAGCCCTGAAATTTTTAGTTTGGGAGAAAACTGGGGCGAGAAAGAGGAAAGTCTCAATGCTATCTCAAGTCTAGTGGAAGATGGTGATGCCTATGCTGAATTCAAATTCAGTCATGGGTGTGTTATGTTGGTCATTGCCTTGCCTCTTCTGTGCTCACACAGTGAGATCTCTATCTCTGCTCTCATCACTGTGCTCAACTTTTCTGCCCTATGCTGAAATATTAAGAAGATTACCAAATACTAAGAGCCCCATGATAACAATAGATGCAAGTGATTCTAACATTATAACCAAGTTCTTACGAAGTCCTTCTTTGGTTTATATTTGTAATGTTCTGAGCTCACACACATTAGCGCTGGACCACTGAGCTAATTACTTCCCTAAATATTGTGTAGGAAATGTACATTTTTATATTAATCTGCTTTGATAGCTGGTGACAAATGGATGACATCTTATGGCTCATAGGATTTGTAGCACTGTTGACACACTGGAGTGTCCAACAGAATTCTAAGCAGAGAGCAGGGGTACGATGCTGCAGCTTGGTGCAGCCGGGCCCAGGAATGCTACAGTGCCTCTAAGCAACTCTGTGCACAAGGCCCATTCTGGACAGACCTGAGTGCCCAGAATTATTTAGCAGTGCAGATATGGCAAATTAAATGTTGTAACACAGCCTTAAATGTGGTCTGTCTTTTCGACTGTTGAATCGCTTGGCCACTATATGAAGTAAAATATATATATATATATATATATATATATATATATATATATATATATATATATATATATATGTTGCACATGGACGGTTAGATTAGAAGGAAATGAGAGAAATAAAACACATGTAACATCCAGAATTGCATTCTGCAAACTATTCCTTAAATTTGCTGATTTAGTTCTAAACATCTCAAGTGAATACAATTTATCTTGAGATATACTTCCACACTGTTATTATTTTCCTTGTCTGTTTTCCTTTTCTCATTTAATCCTAGCAATGTTAGCCTGTAAACAGGACAGCAAGCCATGTAAAGCTAATTCACTGTTACAAATAAAATGCAGCTTTGAAAGAGCTTTGGTTATTTGCCATTCAAAGGTTTACCTCAGGTCTATGATTAATGCATCTGTGTGAACAATTTTCTTCCAAACATGCTCTATCATTAGGTCAGACACCTGGGTTAGAAGTTCACTGTCTCCAAACATATCAAATCTCAGATAGCCGATGTTATTTTCAAATACATTTGTGTGGAATGAAAATTTAATCAAATCTTCAAATACTTCTGGCGGAGGGATCTGAAAGAGTAGGGAAAAACAAAACAAATCATTTGCTGGCACTAGCTTGACACAAAATTACATGGGTCGTGTTTAATCCAGGTGGGATATGTGTGAGGAATGTGACCAAGTTTGAAAAACATAATAAATTTTACAATATTTTTGCACACTAAACATAGATTAGCATTGCCTGATGAATTTTTGTTCAATATAAGGTACATCAATAATGCCCAGAATCCGGCTCAGGCACCTATTTCCCAGAGCTCCATTTATTTTCCAAAAATAGAAGAATTTCCTTGAAGCAATGAGGCTACAAGAACAATCCCAGCCTGAAACATAGATCCCAGGCCTGACACCCAAGCCCATATGTTCTCTTTTCCAGTTGTTTCTAAACACAGCACCTGGACTTTCGTAATTTCTTGATTGGTCTCATCAGACAAACAGCTGCTGGCTGCAGGTGTGAGTGGCCCCAGCCCCTCTTAATGACCCAGTCCCTGTGAGAGTGAGGAACCTGATGTGTTGGGTGTGTGCTAGGATGCTCATGATGTAAATATGCTAAATCTCTTATATGGTGGCCATGTGCCTGGAGCCTCACGTGTTAGGTTGTGATTTATTTAGTTTTGCTTAGCTTATGTTATTAAACGGCAAACATTTTTTAGTAGCAATGTGTAGCCAAATAATGAAGTTCTCATTGTAACCCCTGTATGCATTGAGACATAGCCAGCTCCTATTGCTAAACTTCTATTTTGTATGCAGTATCTGAAAATGGAATAGTCTCCTTCAGCTTGAGATAAGAATTTAGAATGCATATGAATTATATGACCTTCAGCCATTTGGTCTTTCATCCTCAGGGTTGCTATGAAAATGGTGTTATACCTTCTTTTTAATCAGCTGCCCTCTGCCATAGCTCATCCCCAGACAATCCATGCTTTTACACTCAAAAGAACAAGGGGTCAGCCATGAGCCATGTACTAGAGGTGCTCTCCCAGTCTACAACATGCCACAGAACTGGGCAGGCACTTGGGCTTTCTGCAGCTACAGAGAAGTCAAGTAATCTCCTGACGTCTGTACAGTGCTCTGGTCTGGAGCTGTGCTCCTGCCAAAAGCAGGTCTGCCACAGCAGAGAGTTTTTTCCAAGGTGCATGAATGCAGCTGTGTTTGACACAACATGAGGTTACCTAGGGGAAAATTACCCACCATATGACAATTCATCATTCAGTCCCTGATGTATGCCAAAATTATCAAAATTTCTATCATTAATTTAAAAGCCCTGTTTGCCAGTAGTTGTTGACCTGATTGTAAGAGCAAACTCTTTTCTGTACTCTTCTTTATCACTATATTTTGTGAAAATAACCATTGCATCTGGACTGTAAGCACATCAGTCCAGCATTGCTAAGTTTGTCATCTCCAATCCACATCCCAGTGACAGCAATGGGACTTGATCTGCCCACTGTACTTTGATTAACTAATCACAGTTTTGAAAAATATATCCAGCATGCATTGATTGTTCTGACAGAATTTATGTCTAGTTCAAAGATACGGTCCCCCCAAGGAGGAAAATAAAAACATCACTCATTAGTAACATCTACAAATAAAACTGATCTTTTAATCTCAGCCACTTTCTAATGATATTTTACCTGAACACACAAATGTCTTATCTCTGTCTCCAGTGATAACTGCTAAATGCATGTTCATAAACATGTTAAGAGTAATAACTGTCTGATAAATTTTTTCTCAACTTGTTCTTTTACTGTGATGCATACATTTTTGTTCCATGAGGACTTAGTTTTGATAACTCTTGGAGATTCATTATAAATTTCAAGGTGGGAAGGTTGCTCTTAAAGCCCCAGGTCTTATGGGGTGAAATGAATATACAAGGACCTAAATGAAAGCTCTTCATGGCTGCAAGAAAAGGTATGAAATGTATCTATTCTAAAAGTTCTAAGACTGGAAATCAGATGAAAAGCACTCAGAATGTAATTTTGGGGCGCCAGGCAAAGTGTCTGAACCTTTCAGCAAGAGAGGTGAGGAGCCAGTGACTGACATTAGAGAGTTACTGCCCTGCAAAACTGCAGGTTCATGACACTGGCACATGGGCCACATGCTGTGGGTACCTGAGGAGGTAGTAAAGCTTCAGGAAGAAACCCATGCTCTCCTTTGGAAGGCAGGCCTCTGTTTGCTGGCCAAGGACAAGCTGGGACAGGATGCAGCTGAAAGTAAGATCTGCTGCTTAGTCAGACAGTGTTTACATACAAATGACTTGTTGGTAAATATAAACCTTCAGGTGCAGACTATAAGCAATGTGGCTGCACAAAAAAAACCTCCAAGCTAACTCCAATTTAAGCCAAGGAAACCTGTTTTTTCATTAACTATATAAGGGTCTGCAGTGCTATTCTGCAGACTCCTTTCACAGGTGAGTGGTGTAAGTGAAACACATGATGTCACACAATGCAGAATCTTAGAATACTGCCCTAGGACCTGTGCATGGAGTTTGATCCCTGATTCTGACACAAACTCCAGCCATGGGCAAACCACTTTTCTAAATGTGCCTCTTTTTCCTCTGTTCTCTCTTTTCATCTCTCCCTTGTTTTGTCTATTTAGATAGAACCTGTTTCTTCATAGCTATTTTTGTGCTGACCATTGTAAGATAACTCTGATTTTCTATTAAGGGTGCTAGTGCTGTCAACAGCCAGCTGTTAAAATATTATCAGCTAATACCCTTGCAATACCATTGCAAACCCTGAGATTAGTTTAAGAACCATGAGATCTTGAGGGCTGAGTGGCAGGTTTGCACTTTTAGAACATTTGGGTTCCTCACAGGCTGGAGTGGAATGGTTCATCAGGCCCCCCAGCTCAAGGACTGAGCAGGATCAGCTACAGCCCTGACAGCTCATTCTCACTTGCTCTTAACAACACACATTTTACTGGGTGATTTCCAGGCAGTCCACCCTAGTACGTCAGCAGCCTTACTATTAGAATGATGTTTTTAAGATCTTGTGTAAACAGCCGAAATTCACTACTTTGTACTGTTTAAGTGCATTACTTCTTGCTCTATTTACTATGGACAAGGGAAGAGATTATCCTTTTCATATTTGAAACAATCTCTTATGTATCTGAAGACTGTTTTCATGTCTCCTCTCAGTTTTCTTCTCTCTGGAATAAACATCTCAAATATTTTAAACTTTTTGAAGGCTACTTTTATTCAGTTCTCTTTACTCCTGTCCTGCTTTTCTGCTGTCTCCGTACTTGACTCACAACTTTCCAGAAAACCATGGCCCAAAACTGTGCATATTATACTCTAGATGAATTTTCTTCACAGCTAAATGTAGCAGGAGATTTCATGTCTTCCTGATTATATTCTTCCTTATCCATTCCAGTTTGATGATGATGAATATTTACTGCAACAGCTTGACCCTATTGGCTTCTGCTCAGGTTATGAACACTGAAAAACCCATTTACATTTTTACAGGGCTCCCCCTAAACAAGATACTTTCCTTCCAGAATTGTGCAGTGAACTACTATCACCTTAAAAACAAGCAAGCAAAGATTGCAAAAGGTGAAGAGCCAATGAGAGTCAAACATGAGACATTTTTCTCTTGCATAAACTTGCATAGTGCCACTGACTTTACTGTAGTTATGTCGATATAAATCATCATCATATGGGCCTACAAAAATTGGTTTTCCACCTGTAAGAAATAGGTGTAGGAATTTGATTTCTTATCTTGACACTTGGAGGCTGACCATTTCGATTTCACTCATTAATGAAGGAATACAAACAAACTGTACTTCTTTCTGGGGAAACATCTCTAATTATTTCCTTCTTCAGCAAGTACAATACTCTCACATATATACATATTATTCATCTGGAAACAGAAGGACTTGAAATGCAAGAAAAATCTCTCTTTACAAAGGATTCATTTTTGCCTTTTATTCTGATCATCATTTTCAGCTGCTTATCTGAACTGTCATTGCAAAAATTCTCTTAGGTATAAAGACTACACTAAAAGTATTTGGTCATTAAGAAGAGGCCAAAATAATCACTCAGGGATACTCGTCGTCACTTAAAATGGACATATCACTTATGCCAAAATCAGGCATGAGTACTTCCATAGGTAGACAGTTACAAACTGTTTCAGTTTGTAGAGGAAGGTTTGACTATAGAGGGAGAGAGAGACAGAAGAATTAGAAGCAGGGATTATTAAACTGCAGGTCAGCAAGTTTACAGAGCTCTGCCTTATAAGTAAAATGTTGTTTTCTGGATCACAGAAAATATAGACAAAATTTGCCTCAAGGAAGTCTGACTTTGCAAAGTGGCATTTATGCAGCTCACTACTCTGACTAGCAATGACCTTGCTGCCGCTTAGAGGAGACATGTTCACTCCTCTGTACTATGCTTCAGCAGCTGTTCTAGTGCAACAGATGCAAAGGTCTGCACACATTTCACTTGTCTGTCTCCTATGTCCCATCCCATCTTTCTTGTAGTTATTCATCATCGCTCTCAGTTAATTGTGTTGGATCTGCTTCTCCATCAAGGTCATTAACAGTAAAATTCTACTGTCAAGGGAGTGGGTGACTTGGAAGGTAGGTAGCACAAGAGAAAAACTAGCTCTTAGGCTGCTAAGGAAAAAATGTGATATAGATCAAGAGAGCCACTATGTCCATATACTGGGCTGCTGAATTTAATTTTTTTTTTTTTTTTATTTTACAAACGCAGCTAGAGCCATCATACATGCTTCACAGTACTCTAAAGGTATTTGCTCTCTGGGGTATACTGAAATGTTTCACAGAAAGCATCCCTCTTATGGCTGCAAAAACAAAACAGGAGATGTAAGTACTCTTGCTGCCCAGAGATCTTTGGAATGGGTGAATTTTCTTTTACCTCCATCTCAAGGAAAATCCTTTAATGACTTCAGTGTCTTCATTAACATTGTAATGCCCTTGTCTGACTCCCGATTTCCTCCAGCAATATGAGGGAATGGTTCTGCCTCTGGAAACCATTTTAGTCTCGTAAGAGACGTGATTCTCTGCTCTTAAAACATTATTTCTCTTAATGTTCTCTTAAAACATTATTTCACCTTGGAGAAATCTCATGTTTGTCCTAATTTTCATCGACACTGATGTGATTTCCTTCTTATGGCTGTATCCCTGACCTCTTCCAATCATTTTGATTGACAAAGAACTATGGTAGAACAGAGCCATTGAATAATACAATGGCATTTCTTCACTAGCTCTATCAGGATCAAACTTTTATTTCATGTGGCAAGTAAGATACTTGTCCTCTGTGTTATGTTCTTGACGTTTAAGGTCTGAATAAAGTAAGATCCGAACAAGTAAAAACCACCAACAATATTCATTAACAACCTTCAGTGAACACAGTGGCTAATTTTCAAGATTTTTTCATTCTCCAGAATGGGAAGAAATTATGATGCATCACTACTGGTATGCTGATAATAATTGAGCATGGAACTCTGCTTTGACTCTAGTTAAAAGCATTGAAATATGTTTAGAGTGAAGTTTTCTTCACTCAACCAAGTTAGGAGGAAGAGTGCTGGAATAGAAAACTTCTTTAATTAATTATTTCTGTTTAATCTTAGAGGCAAGAATGGGGCCAGCATCTCTTGATTAACAAACTTGAAAAATATCCACCCCTGACAATGCTTAGACTTTATCCTTTACCTTAGTATTTGTGATAATACTACAAAGGTCACGGCCACTTTAAATCATACATGCCAAAAATTTCAGAGTGTGCAAGTCCACTGATTTCCTCCCCCAGGAAACATTTAATAGTTACCTGACACTTGGTCTACTCTGGTTCATTGCAAAGGCAAATGCGTTCTCTTCAAAAGTAATTTTATGAGTCCCTGGAGAAAATACATCTCTGATAGCCATGCTAGTGCAGTAGCCAGAAAGCAGCTAACTCCATCCAAGAAAGGGATCAGGTTATCCTAAACCTCTATTTAATTTGAAGATGGAATTTTAACAAGTGCTCCTGGGAGCTCCCTCTAGCACAACAATGAACAAGAAAGATTGCCAAGGCAGACCAGTGTATAAACACTCAGGCTCAGAACAAAGCACAGACTGTTATGCAAACCACACAGAAAGGGCAAAAGTAGATTATTAAAAATCAATTTCTCCCTGGGGTCACCTAACTTCCACCCTGATATTTCTTCCAAAGTATTTCTAGGTCACTGGGAAACTGTCTGATGCTGAGAATGAGATACAATTAGAACAACTTTCCACTGCTACTACCAAAGGAGTTGCAGACTATTCTGGTGTATAGATGTCAGCTGCTACAATTTTATATAGAAAAGTCCATCAAAGAGCATATGGCTGCATGTTTAGTGATTCGTATGCATTTACTCTAGTCCAACTATACTTCCCTCAAATTACAACCTGGTTTAAAACCAGAGGGTTTCTGAATTAATTACAGCTGGAAAATCTGCATCATTGAAAGAGGAGGGACTACAGGAAAAAATGAGATCTCTTCCCTCTAACTCTGAAGCCCTGCATTTCTGCTTGTGGCATATGACAACTGAGATTCACAGCCTGAAGGTTGTTTCCAAAATCTACGCATCCAGAGCTACCATCTAATTCCACAAGCTACTACCTTGTCAGAGACAGCTCAGCCCACAAAACCTACTCAGGCCTTGGCTTCTCCTCTGCATACAGATAAATCTGGCTGGGTCCATCTATGGTATGGGCTAGAAAAAAGATAAGGTATCTGACTTAATGCTCCCATTCCAACTGCCGTCTCTATAGCTGAGTATGAGAGAACTGTACCTGTTTCGGCATGATCCCTGGGATGCTGTCCTTGGCATGTTCAGGGATGTAGAGTAATTTCAGGTGCTTATCATCAGAAAGAGCTTGTAAGATGGCAGTCACCTTCCCAGCAAGATCTTCCTCTGTATTGATCCTTTTGTAATTGTCTTTGTGGATGTTCTTTGTGAGGTTGGATGCTATAACAGTCCCAGTGTTCACAAAGGCATAATTATCTGCCACAAGCTTGCCAACAGTTTGCAGTATCTGTGGCACCTGGGCACGCAGGTTGGCAATGTGCTGAGCTACAGCCATGGCTTCACTGGCCTGGATGGTGATGTGTGGCTCCACCCCAGACACACTCCACACTTTTCCAGTGACTGGGCTGAGCACCACTTGGCTGGGGATGGAGGCATATAGGGAACTGTTACCAACACGATAAATGCCCACTGAAAGGGATCCACCGACTGTGGGCTCACCAACAACTGTGGCCCGGTGTAGATCCTTCATAGAGCGAGTGAAAGCTTCAGCTGCTGAGCCACTCATATGGCTTGTTAGGATGTAGATGTCCTTGAGGGAGCCGTATCTCTTGCCAGCGAGCTGGGGGAGAGTCCACACCTCTGTGCTGCGGGAGGTACTACGGTCGAAGACAGTGTAGAGGTGTTTCCGAGGTTCAGGGTCAAAGAAGTAGGAACAAAGTATTGGGATGGCAGTGGAGTAGCCACCTGTGTTGTACCTCATGTCAATAATCATGGCATCCGTGTCCACCAGCTTGTTCCATACCATCTGCAACAGCTGTGGCCCAATGGCCTTCACCGTTTCTGCCTCAGCCATCATATCGAAGCGAAGGTAACCCAGGTTGCCTGGCAATACCTCAATTTTGAAGAGTGCCTCAATGATGTAGCTCAGCTCTTCAGGGCTGGGAATCACATTGGGAAGCTGTTCTTCTGGGGTTGGTTCCACATGGCTGTGGAAGACGTGAAGCCGATGGTCTCCAGAGGCCTCCTGCAAGTCACTGGTGAGCTGAGAAGCCAAAGTCTCAGAGTCTATAGCTGATCGATAACCTCCTTGGGCCCGTTTGGTGCTGAGCATAGCACTGGCCTTAGCAGCCACTTCGGGGATGGCATAGTGGTCCTCTAGCAGCTGCCCGGTACCCTCCAGAAGTACTCCCATATTCTTGTGGAAGGCTAGCACTTCTTCAGCCTTCTCCAGTGCATCCTCAGCCAACACTATGGCATCAGGAACAACTCCTCCACCCATCCAGCTTTCCCCATGGTTGTCAATGAAGGTGATAACAGGAACTGTGATAGTCAGGCCACGGGTTATTCCCGGCCCAGGCTGCAGCAGAGGGAAGGTACGGGTGTGTGAGAGGCTTCCTGCTGTGATCTCACCGATCAGTGTGGCACGGCCCAGGGACTGCATGAGGTAAGCAAACTCCTCAGCAGCTGTAGCAGTGTGGTGGCTGGTGAGCAGGTAGACGCCACGCTTAGCCCCGTAGGACTGGCCCAGCAGTTCTGCCTGGCTGTTGTGCTCCTGTGTATGGTTGGTGCGTCTGTCGTAAGTTGTGAAGAGATGGACAGGACCAGCAGCAGGGTCTTGAAAATAGGAGAGAAGCACAGGCACAGCAGAGGAGGAAGGGCCTCCAAGGTTGTAACGTAGGTCCATGATCAAGTTCTCTGTATTTTGAAGGGGTTCCCACACTTTGTGTACAAGGTAAGGCCCCAGCTTTACAAGCACAGAGGCATCTGCAAATTCATCAAAGCGCATGTAGCCAACATTGCCTGGCAACACTGACACCTTGAAGACGGTATCAACCAAGGCGTGCAGCAGCTGCTCATTGTCAGGTAAGTCAGCTGCCATCCCAACTGGCTTCTCAGCTGGGGAATCAGCAGCTTCACCTGGCATCATGACTCGGACCATCAGGCGGGGGTCATCAGATAAGGCCTGCAACTCAGTGTTGAGTTTGGTGGCCAAGTCCTCGGATGACTGCACAGAAGAGAAGTCAGAGGTGGTGAGACGCCGCAGTAGCGCTGGCACTCTCTCCACTAAGCTGTAATAGTCCTTTAATATGTTTTTGAGGTGGCTAATGGTGCCAGGCACTGCTCTGCGCACTGCCAGGATATCCAAGGATTTCTGCAAGGCTTGCTCTGCCTCAGTAGCCACACATGGCATCACCCCACTCACTTCCCAGCTCTGTCCACCTCCACTCAAGGGGCTCACAGATCGTGACACAGGAACCATCATATAGAAATTGGAAGGACCAATACGCAGCTTCTGGATGTCCAGTGAGCCCCCGGCTGTCTTCTCTCCAACTGTGATAGCTCTATTCATGTGCTTGAGGATGTAAGCCACATCTTCAGCCACTCCTGTGGTGTGGTGGCTGATCAGAACAATGACATCCTTGTCTTTGCTGTACCTCTCTCCCAACACCTTTGGCAGTGTCCATATCTCTGTGGTGGTGTTGGAGGGACGATTGTATACAGTCTCAACATGCAGTATCTTGTCTTGTTCATGCAAATACGAGATGATGAAGGGGAGGCCAGAAATCTGTCCCCCAGTGCTGTGACGAAGATCTATTACCAGGGCAGATGTCTCTATTAGTGTCTTCCAGACCTTGTCCACCAGAAAAGCTCCAACTTTCTGCACAACTTCCTCTCCTATGATATAATCAATTCTCAGGTAGCCAACATTGCCCTCCAGCTTGTCATACATGATCACATGCTCAATAAGACTCAGGAGTTGCTCACGAGTAGGGGAACCTTCAGCTTCTTGTTTGGGACCTGAATGTGGTAATGGCTCATAGGAAATCACCAGTCTTGGGTCATTCAGAGCGCCCTGCACTCCAGCTGTCAAGACATTGGCCAGCATTTTTGGATCTGAGATGTCCAGGATCTCTCCACTCTTGATTGCTTGTTCAATGGCTTCTTGCATTCCTACTAGGTTTTCAGGATAGCAGTAATTATCCAGAAGGACTTTAGCCATGTCCAGCACTAGAGTTGGCTGAAAGATTTCCTCAGCAGGTAGGCTGCACACGATCAGTGCTGAAAACAGCAAGAAGTGTGTCCTGATCATTTTGTCTTTGTATGGAACAGAAAAGAAGTCAGAAGCTCTTATTGATCAAGATGAACATAACTCTCCAATGACTCTGAATCGCACTGAAATCCCTGTGTTGAATCCAGGTGCACTGAACAGATCTTTTATCTGCATTAAACCTTTAATCTCATTAAAGTGTAGTGCATCATCCAAAGTGCACCAATAGATGAAGTTCAGCTCCTTACTACTTTACAGGCTTCTTATGAAACAGTAATGAACTTCAATCATCAAGGAAGATCTTTCTATCAGTTAATTGTTTCCAAAAGGTAGTGCATTTCCTGTTGCAAACTGGTCCTGCCTTATCCTGAAAGTGGGTAGCTTAAATGCAAAACTGATTTTAACCACAGTTAGCACATCAATGATCCTGCCTTTTACCATTATTTATGAAGAGCATATACCAGGAGATTCTTCAGTGGCTAAGTTGTATCAATATTTAATATTCTTTCAAAAGTTGTTGACAATACATTGTCTTTGGCATTTTTTAGTCTGAGCTGCAAAGGACCGTTCATACATTCTATGACTAAGGGTTCCAAACAAGGAACTCCAGACATTTAGCACAGCTCGTAAAATCCAAGGTAATGACAGCCTTTTAATTTCTGTGCTGAGAATTGCCAGCATTTTAAACAGGACTTTGAAACACATTTGCCTCAACATAATACAGCTAAATCTGAGATGACTTTAATCTTCACAATTTGCACTCAATTAGGATTTACTTGTAATACCGTTGGGTAACATATGGTCATGTCTGATGACAGCTCCCAGCCAATAGACTTCAGGCTCAACATACCAAAATAGAATGTGGGGGGGTTGTTTTCTTCTGCTCACAATGCATTTGAGACCCTATTGTATTAAGAGATTGAAAGAGGATCAGAATATGTGGGATGCAGGCTGTACCCATTCTGAGCTCCTGTATGACATGCCAAAGATATACAAGAACAGATTCCTGGCTTCAGGTTTGAAATTAATTGCTATCCCAGCCACTCTGTTTGCTGGAGGTAGCCACAAGAACAGACTCTGAAATCTGGGAAGAGCACGTTTTTGTACTCCTGTCAAAATGTTGCTACATATGAATGCATGTGGAGGGAAGAGTCCAAAGATGGTCTAAGCCTGTCTGGATGCACTCTGTTGGTGTATGTGTGAGTGTCCTGAAGGAAGCCTGCCACTCATGACTGTGCAAAGGGTGTTATAGATGTTATATACAAGATGCTAACAGTCACCTCATCTTACTCAGAATGTAACAGATATAGGCGAATTGCAACGAGGACAATAGTCAGAAAGGAGACAAGAACAGAACGGCATCTGAATATTTTTAATCAGAGTGTGCCAGATACCAGCTGTCCCTTACATACTTAAATGAGATCTATATATCACTGCTAAACTCTTTACATGACAATTTTTTCTGTAGCTTTTAAGGAAGCATTTCCGCATATGAACAATGTTCTTCTCCAATGAGGCCTTATCTAGAGGTTTAAAGTCACAAAATGGCACTTTCCTGCCTGTGATTGTTCTATAATAGTAAGATTACAAAAAAATACTTTTCTCTATTTTCCTGACATTTATTTTGCCTTTTATCACAGTCTATAAAGATTTTAATATCAGAAGTGCTGGAAACTGTAGCTGAGCTTCTTATGAAGCAAAGATACTGAGAAATATATACGGTATTGTGATTTGATAAGGCTCAATTTATTTCTTAAGTTATGCACATTCATTTTGATGTACTTTATCGTTGCCACATAAAAAAAACCCCACAGCTTCACAATGTAAATGTAAAATTAAGGATTTTTTGCAACATGCACAATTTAAAATGTTAGGACAGTGGAAAAATATGTTCTCCCTCACTGGTTCTGTCCAGTAATTTATTTCTATTGAAATTCAATATGAATATGCAGTATGGATTTCTGAATTCAATGTGACATGTAGCATTCACTGCTACCTTGGTAATTCTTTACAGATGGTGTTAGAAGGTAAGAATCCTTTCTGTGTGGTGTGAATTAAGATTTGGAGAATGACTATTTGCTTTTTAGCAACATATAGCTCAAATTTTTTTCAAGTATGTTGTTTAATGTGATTCTGTTCATTGAACTCTGAATAACCAGATCCAAAATTTAACTCTACCATTTATTTGAATTTATAATATAACTCAAGCCAAATTCTTATTTTGATTTTAGTTTTGAGCAGAACTAAATAGCTAAGGTCTAGTTTTAGCTTTTATAACTCATAAAACTTTATGATCCTTTAAAATCTGTCCACAAGTATTTCATTTTCTGACTTCCTGTGGGTATGAATTTCCCACATACTCTGAAAAGAGGCATTTTTTATCTGTCTCAGACTAGTCTGCATGCAGAGTCTGCATTATTCAGATCATATGCTAAAAATCTTCCATATGCACAAGATGAAATGTTTTGCTGTATATTATTTGCTTTCTATATTCTGCTCCAATATTCCCCAGTTCTCATGTGCAGCTGATCCCACCGTTCCCCCATCAGACTCATGCAGATATTTGGTCACTGACAAGCCGCAGTAGCAGGAGGCTCATCTGAAGGTGGCAGCAAGAACACCTTTTTCACTGGCAGAGATGCCAACAGGATAAAGGTGAAAGTTGGAATAAACTACTTTTGGTTTTAGTAAAGCCTTTAATACAGTCATATTTAAATTAGGTGTATGAATAAGAATTAATTTAAAGGTGATAGCTGGCTTTCAAATACTGAGAGGCAGAGTCTATTAGCTCAAGCACAGGACTATGCTAATGAAATATTTAATGCTTCCAGGACTTCAATAAGTATTTCTAGACAAACCTTCATTGCCTTTTATAGATGTACAAGTCTGGGTCAGTACTACTTCATAGCTGTCTGTGACAGGCATGACTGGATTGCATAGGTATGGTCTAAGAGTGTCTATTCTCTTGTACTGTTTGGTACAAAGGAAAACTTGTTCCTAAGTAGGCTTTCTAGGCCCCTGAAATATTAAAAGAATTAATAATAACACCCTTAGATTCCTTTCTAATTCCCATATCAAAAGAAGTAATGTTAGATTTTTGCCCCAAGGTTTTTCAGTTTTTATGCCATACAAACCTGTGTAGATTAAAATTGAAGTTAGAAGTTTTCTTTCACATTATTAATATTAAAATATTTCCATTTTATGAAAATGAAAATAGTATTCTGAGTTTCTTAACAATTACATTTGTAATAAGAAAAACTTAAATCCAAAATGTGTTAGATTTTGTTTGTTGTTAAATATTCCCTTCCCTTCCCTTCCCTTCCCTTCCCTTCCCTTCCCTTCCCTTCCCTTCCCTTCCCTTCCCTTCCCTTCCCTTCCCTTCCCTTCCCTTCCCTTCCCTTCCCTTCCCTTCCCTTCCCTTCCCTTCCCTTCCCTTCCCTTCCCTTCCCTTCCCTTCCCTTCCCTTCCCTTCCCTTCCCTTCCCTTCCCTTCCCTTCCCTTCCCTTCCCTTCCCTTCCCTTCCCTTCCCTTCCCTTCCCTTCCCTTCCCTTCCCTTCCCTTCCCTTCTCTTCCCTTCCCCCCTCTTTTTACAGTGATCAAGAAAAAGAAAAAAAGAGAATGAGAAGATGATTTATATTTTTAATGTAAGATTGAGTGAGGGCAGAAAAAGTGTATTCCCATTTTGAAATCTCTCTAATTTCAGCCAGGAGCGGGTGGAGAGTCATCACAGTTTATGAAGCACAGCTGCAATAAACTCACATTGAATAGCTTCACTGAACAGATGAACCACTGTATTCTAGATAAGTAGAAGATTCAGGAGGTCATCAAGAAAATGCATTTCAAATATGCAACCTGACCTAGTTCAGAAACATGCTTTTGAACATGCAGTCCTTGAAGAATTGGTATATTACATGTTTGCATTGTATTTTCTGTATTGTCTACATCCTACACTTTGGATAGATTTACATGTTTGCATTGTATTTTTGTATTCTCTACATCCTACACTTCGGATTGATTTACATGTTTGTTCAGCATGGTACACCACACAGAGTTAGCCTGTCATAAATACTGAATATTAAATACTCTATCAAGCCCTCCTGTCCTGGGGTTGTATTTGAAGCAGTGAGAGGTCCAGTGACCCACAGCAGGCTTTGTTTAGTGGCCATCACGGATGGTGGCCACCAAAGGGATCTGATTCCTGCAGATGGTTCTGCTGAGGGCCTGGTGCCCCTGATGGCTCCTCCTGGCCCTGCTGCACACCCTGCTGATGTATGGCCCCTTGAGCTGTGCAGCTGTGACATCAGCCTCGTGTTTATGTTAAATGAGGAGGTTTTAATTTTAACTGTGCATCTGCTGAACACTGCACAAGCCCCAGCCTGCCCCTCAGTAACAGCAAGCTGCTGGTCAACATTCATAATCCAGTCATGAGGGAGGGGTTTCTCAGTGTCCAGTGGGTCCCATCTTGAAGCAGAGGCAAGATGCTTACCTGCTCTTCACAGCCTGTGGACTCTCGAGAACCATCATGACCACTTGGATGATTTGCTGCATCCCAAAGCATTTGAAACCTGAGCGATCTCAAACAATTATTTAAAAATAAATGTGCAAAACTACATAAATCAAGCTGCTAAATATAAAGTCAAACATCAATTTGACACGCATTTCAGCCATGCTGAAGGTAGTAGCAGCTGTAGTCACTACTGGGTTCTCATTTCATCTTGACCCTGTTCATTACCCTGTGGAAAGATTCATGTTTCATTTTACTACCATGCCAACCAACATGTTAAACCTATGGGCACATGATTGTTAAAGCTGGCTGGAAACTCAATTGATTTTTTTCACTGAATAGAAAAGCAACTTCTAGTCCAGTTTTGTGATGGGATCTATAAGTATTCTCTGGAATTCTGAGAGCATAGCTAGGATGGTTTGAGGATAGGTTTTGAGCCAAAAATGATTTGGGGTATTTTTTTCCCCATCCAAATAAGAGAAATAAAGATCGATATTTGACTGATGAATGTAACACCCCCCTCCACCCCACCCCTCCCACCTTGATTCTTGAGAATTTCTCTCTGTGCGGGTTTTCCCCTTCCCTCATTTTTTTCATTTAATCATGGACAAAGTCCTGTATTCAGTGAAGTTAAAATAGAACTAGGACCTTGTGTTTAGATAACTGGAGGGCACTTAGCTACAATTACATTGACATGAGTGAAAAAGTCTTCTAATGTGATCACATCAAGGGCATGTTTGGTTGTTTCTGTCACTTAAGAGAAATTTTGCAAAATGTCAGGAGCTTAAGAGAGAGGAACAAAATGGGGAGACAATACAGGGGGCTCTGGCAGGAGGAAGACATAATGATGACTGTAAGATGACATAAGCCAGTGGCAGAATGATTACTGCTGTGGGAAGCTTAAGAGGTTAATGGCATGCAGCTAGGGAGGTATGGAGTTTGCATGGACCCAGATCCCAGATCTGATCCAATTGCAGACCAGTTCTAAAGAAAATGACTATAAATCAGTTCAAGAATTCTAGTGAATCGTGCTTTATGCTCATGGTTTGTGATCTAACCAGCAGTTCTTGATGGAATTACAACTGCCCTGCTCCCACTCACCTGCTATTTACTCTGTATTAGGTTAACAATAGTAAATAAACTGTGTATTGGATTTCAAGCTGACCTGTTCATGCCAAATGAATTCGACTTGCCCACAGGCTGTCCTAATTCAAAACATATGTATTGATTTAAATTCCATTGCTTTCATACATTAGGGTACTGTTTAGATTTTTGCCTCATCAATATTCTTCACCTTTTTGAATGGATGCATAGTTTGTTAAGGATTTGGTTCAAAAGGGTTTTCAGGTAGATATGTGTAAGGTGGTGAAAGAGTAGAAGTGAGGTGCACTGTGGTGATGTTGTACAGCACTTACCCCTGTCACCTGCAACCAACAGAAGACAGTTTGTCCTTTTACAGGCACAACCTCTATTAGCATCAAAGGAAGTTTACTTTAAATGCAGGAAAGATGGCATCCTTGTTTAGTGAAAATACAACTGAAGGCAGAAGAATGATAGTATGACAGTATACTTCTCATACAGCAATGTAATACGACACAGATAGAAGTTTTCAATTTTCCCCAGGCTTCTAAGGGGTGAAAGAATTTTGCATGTAAAATAGCGTTTCTCCTAAGACATTTTTAAAAAATCAGAACCTCATTCCAGACTCTGAACAACAAATTTAGGCCTCTAAATAAGCAGCCTGAGCTTTTCGAAAGTGCTGAGCTCTGCCAACCCCCACTGCTCTTAGGACACAACTTCTAAGGATGGACATCATTTGACTGCATGTTCTTGCAAAGAAATACTAAGAATATGCAGTAGGTCAAAGTGGCTCCTTATCTTTGTGCGGTGATAAGGGCTGCTGCTCCGCCTAGGAAACAGTGTCTTAGAAGCGGAAGGCTGCACTTCTTATCATTCAAGTGTGTGCCATAAAGGGGTAAAAATAGGGACATTGAGGATAAGAAAGCTGAAACTAAGGCACCTGCTACCCACAGAAGGAAACTTGGGAATGAAATAAGTGAGCGTCTGTTCTGTTTTGAATACTGCAGATCTTCACTTACAGGAACAAATAATTTGCCTGTAAAAGCCTCTGAGATTACTGATATGAGCAAAGGCTTCCTGGATTTAGATTCCTGACTTTATCATGCAGACAACATTCCATTTACTGAGTTTTACCGAAGTTGAAAATGTCACAGTTAACTGAGAGAATTAGATTTCAAGAGCAGTTAAACATTTGGAGGACATCCTAAACTCCCACTGAAAATCCTCTAGTTTGTGACCTAAAATACAGTTGATTAAACAGAAAGTTTGAAATAAGGCATTGACATTGTATCACCAGATAATGCATAGTTCATTCAATCTCACAATACTTTAATCCAGTATTCACTTTGCCATGATATATAATGCAGGCTATTTACAAAGATTGGCATTTTTAAATGCCAATTTTCCCTTAAAACAAGCAGCAACAAAAATCAGCCCCATACCATGCTCTTAACCCTGTTTGCAATGGTCTTCATTTGCATCACTGTTGTACAGATTTACACAGGACAGATAAAGGGGATGTTCCTTTTCTTAGAGATTCTGCCTTGTATACTACCTGCAGCCACATTCTGCCACTTTCATCCCTTCATAGTTATATATCAAAGTGGGCACACCAGCATCATCCTTATAAAGAATGGAGATTGAATCCAGTTTGGTTGGAACACAACAGGCCTTGGAGGCTTTTTTTGGATTTTGGAGATGCACCAGAGTTTGGACAATAGCATGTTTAGTTGGGGTGACGTTATCTGTCAGAGGGAAGAAGCAACCTCCTTTACACTCAAAAGCTTCATAATCTTTTGGTGCAATGATCCAGGAATCCCAGCCAATCTCTTCAAAGTTCACATGGAGGGAAGTTCTCCTGCAGTGGTTGGCTCCAACACTTCTCTTGCTTCTGGAGGAATGCCGGTGGGATCCAGTGATGGCCTTTTCCTCTCCCTGCTGTTCCTCTTCAGATGAAGTGTTGTTCTTCCCTAGTTTCTTGAGCACACTTTCTTGCTCGTGAACAATCATCTCGCGGAGCTCCACTTTGGTCTCCTTTGTCCCATTGCTGCGGTCATTGGAGAACACTATTAACAGGGGCAGATTTTTTGTGTCAGGAGTAACGCTGACATCCAGCTTCCCACAAGTAAAACCACTCAGAGCTTTAGTCTCTATAACAACCTCTAGCTTATTTTTAGTCTCCAGTTTGTCTGCCCTGACCCATCTTTTCACAGCGCTGGACACTTCAAACATCTTCCAACCACATTCCTGGATATTGTGGTAGACAAGGGAAGATTTGGTACTTTCTGGGTTTTCCCAGTGGCCATCATCTAGAACATCATAAATTACCATGTTGCCTTCCAGCCTTGAGAGAGACCCGACTTCCCGGTGACAGGAGATATAAATTCTCAGTTCAGCTCTGGTGATTTCCTCATATTGTGGAATAGAGATGTTGAAGAACAAAATGTGTTTCTGAAATGGGTTTTCTTCTGGTGAATCTAAAGAAACAACATCTGCAATAGGAAATTAAAATGTGGTTACAGTGTTTCTGACAGTCCAAGTAACTTGATTTTAAAAGACTATACATTTTGGGCATAAAATAAGAGCATGGTAACACAGCATTAAAAAAAAAATCCTGTCTTCTGGCGGAGTTTCAAGGGCAGAGAGTGAAAAGAGGAAATGGAAATCTCTCGTATTGGTAGTATTTTACTGTGATTACAAAGCCAGGTGAGTGTGTGGAGGGAAGCATAACGAGGCTGCCTAGAACAAGCTATGGATGATGCTGGGCAGTATTAAGTACATAAATAAGGCATGTGCAGAGTTTTCAGATTTATAAATTTGTTAAAGATATTTTTACAGAAAGAATTTGTAAAAAAATCAATGATTTCCTACTCTTCTGCTCTAATATACATATATAAGTGTCTTTAAGAACTGGCTGTTCTGAAGCTTTTGTTGTTGTCTTCAGATAAGTTTGAAAGCAGCTTAGACTGGGAGTTTGGGGAAATAAAAAAGGTTTTGAAAGTCCTGAATTGAAGGTCCAGTGTCTGTCTGAACAGGGTCTTGGTAATAAGCAGTCTTTCATACCCAGGTCCCAGACTGGACTCCTTGAGTTTGTGTGGATTCGTTCACATTTGTTTGTTGTCTGCAAATCTATGTGCAGTACCAGCAAGTCTGCCTTGGGAAGGACAGATATTTGGCTGGAAGATCAGATTGGTAGTATTTAAAATTCACCCCTGATGTCTATTTAATGCTCAGGGTAAACTAACTGCTTAATCATGAATGGGTTTTAGGGAATTTTAATTGGCTGTTGCTGCCATTTCTTCAGACCATTTACCTTGTAAAGTAGTCAGAGGGAAGACTGAGATATGGAAACTATAATCTAGGTACTATTGTTGAGATTTATTTCTATTTCAGGACTAGGGACACTAATTTGGGAATTTGGAGTTCTCTGTAGTGCTGTTACCTGTGTATGTCTATTTTTCATATAAACAGAAACTTCATTTCTCCCTGCTTCATTTTTGTAACAAGGACTGCACTTCTAACTTTTTTATTGCCTGATGGATCTTTCAAAAGGCTATTTAATGTTACATAGACAGGGATCTTGAATTTTTTTCTGTTGATATGAGCATGACTGATCATTTTCAGATAAATCTTTGTCTAACCCAGAATTTTGGAGCAGTGCTGTTCCTTGGTTGGATCCAGCAACAAATTTCTCAGCTGATCGCTGCAGTTTTTAAATATGTACAGAGCCTTCCAAAAAGAAAAGGTCTCTAGCATCAGTCTCAATTATAGGTGATCAAAGTTTGCATGCTAACATAAAAACTCAGTTTGAAATATCTAGGATTGAGAAACATGCTTCATGTAAACCTTGTTATTTGGTGCATTATCTTAGCTGAAGCATTTCAGAAGAGAATATTGTACAGTGAAAATATCAAAGAAGAAAACTAAAGGTAACTGCATTTTTTAAAGATTGAAATAAATGATATAGTAAGAATACAATCAAAAATTTTAATGTTTCATTCTAAAGAATCTTTGGAAGTTAGGAACTCAGTTTCTTCTGAATTTCAAAAGAATCTGACTATTTACTATTAATGTACTTTTTAAAAAATTGTAGTCCACATATTGAGGACTTTTCTTACCTTCAGTACTGAAGCTCCTTACAATATTGGATGCAGGGATGGAGGACTTGTCTGCAGCATATCTGTTGTATAAATCAATCATGAACTGTGGTGGTTCTTCTTTGGTCTTCACTTGTGAGGGCACTCTTGACAAATTCAAACTCCTTAGTAAATCCATCTTCATATTCTCCAAGAAAGATTTAAAGTTGAAATGGGTCTCATCTTCTACTTCCCCAGGATCATGAACATGTGCATCAGACTTTCCCATAGCTGATAGCCTGTCCCAGTCTTCCAAAGGCTTGCCTCTTGTCAAACAGGCAATGATGTTGAAAACAGACAGTGCAGCTAATACTCCAAAACAACACATTTCTTCTATATTTATTTTCTGGTGGAGAAACAAGAGGACAAGGGTATTTTAGCTGATTGCCAGTCTTGTTTCAATAAAAACAGAGGAAAGGAGATGTAAGGCAAACAACTGGAATGCCCTTTGCAAATCACTTTCTGGTGTTCTTTCTGCAGTCTGCTTCAAACCCCAGCCTCTTGTCAGTTGTCAAGCAGATTGGTCATACACTTGTCCTTATCAGAGTCATTGATGCCATGCTTCAGCTTCTGTTATCTAGCAAAGCTCTTAGTTAATGAAGATTCTGTAAACATCTGACAAACACATGTGGCTGGTGGAAAGGACATTGTATATTGTAAAGAATCCACATTTCACTTTAGGGTCATCTTTGCTTAATTACATTCTTCTACCACTTCCTTGCCAACACAGAGAGACGCTTTCTTAGGAACACAGAAGTTTACACTGTTTTCAGCAAGACTAGAAAATACAGATCTAGAACAAAATCACTCTATTAGCTATTAGCAAATAACATCTCACAAATTATTTATATAATCCCTTCACATATTATTATAAAATGCCCATTAGTTTGATAAAGACCTGTGATTCTGCAAGACATGATCTCATGACATTACAAACAACCTTAAAACTTCTTTCCGTTTATCAGCCAAGGGCTATTGTTTGTACACAGTGAAATCTGTTTTGTGTCAAGTTTGTTTCATGTTGTTTGCAGGCTTGTTCATTTTCATTCCTTTGGTGTATGGGAATTTAGGCTTGTTTTTATAGTGTCTTATGTAATATATCTCATAGATTCATGATGGTCGATCCAGTCCAAGAACAACCAATCATTTTTTCAGCAACCTCAAAATGAAGACAGAACCAGGCCTTCCAAGACCAAATGGAAAATAAAAAGTCCTTTTGAAGATACAGAAGATTATCTCTGAAGACATTGTGTGCATGAGAAGAACAGGCCAAGGCAAATTAATTTCTCATGATACAGAAGAAAAAACAGGTTTATTTATGTTAATGAATGTATTATGATTTAATCTAATGATACATAATTGCTTTTTCTGTACTAATAATGCATCATTTTTTCTAAAAACTCTGTTCAAGTGACAACTTGGATCCAAGATCCTGGTTAATTATGTTCCTATGACATAAAGTCAAAAAGGATTATTTGGCATTGATCCTGGTCTCTCACATAGCAAGACTTATATTTACTCAGGGCCTTTGTGTTTTATACCTACATGCCGAGTCAAATTGTTTGTTTTTGGATAAACATATATTTTTAAGTGCCAACAGACTTTATCTGAACAGATCAAAGAATCAAAAATTTTGATTTTTGTAGCTAAAATATTATAACCTACAGCTAAAAAACCCTTCATGCCATGTTCATTTTTTCATTGTGCCTGACTTTACCTTCTAGACAGGAATTCTTGTAACTTTCTGGCTCATTTAAGGAGTCCCATAGCACTGACATTTTCCCCTTTCAAAGTGCTTGCACAGTATAATCAAATTACTTCTCAGCTTTCTTTCTGATAAACAGATTGTTCTCTTTAGTAACAAAAGACATTTTCTCTCCCTGTTTTGGTTTCTTTGTTTTTTTTGTTTCTCTTTCAGAATTTGAAGGCCTTCTTGACAAGGTGAAACCTAGGGCTATATATAGTTTTCTAGTGGCAGTCCACCAGTGCCACATGCAGAAATAATATATCCTTTCTTAATGTGGTTCCCTGCTCCAGTGTGTATCTTTTCAAAGCTTTCACTGGCTGCCATTCCATAGCATCATGCTGGGTGCTCAAACTGCATCACAAATCTATGACAGCCACAAAATTCTTAAGAGTTATGACTTTCAAGGGTGCAGTCTTGTACTCAGTAGGAGCAGCCTCCATTCCTTGAGACTAGGTACCTGAAGCTCTGTATCTGTCTACTTTAAAATTAATTTTAATTACATTGAGTGCAGCTAGATCAAGTGGTCTATATAAACATCTCTCTCCTCCTGCAAATGCAGTGGAGGTTGCTATATACAGACTCTAAGTTCATACATAAAGGTGTCATATACTGTCAGGCCAAGTGTCAGCTTTGCAGAAACTTTACAATGAACAGTTTAACTCAGTGGAAATTCCTTTTGAAAGCTGTTCTTTGAGGTTTGGCAGTGAGACATTTTTTTAATCAATGTGATACACCAACATATTAATATTGTCCAGTGGTTTATTTTAATTATGCAGCCTTGGCAAGTGACTTGAATATTCCACAGAAACCTAGGTACATTGTAGCTGTTGCTGTTGCTGCTGGCAATTAAACAGTGGCCTGAAAGAATGAAATCGGTGTTGTTTTAGAAAAAATGGGTTTTGACAGTTTGCTGGCCAGTATCAACTGTTTTCTTGTTTTATCTGTCTTTACTCATAGCATTTTCTTTTAGGATTAGTTAGTGGAATTATCTTGACCTGTGTTTATCAGTAGTAACTTTCTCTATAAACTCAAGCATTGAGCAGAATGGTTTATAGGATGTTCAAAGAAGTAAAAAGATCTGCTGGAACCAAGACGGTGAGGGCATCAGCATCCTCTGCCCGCAGCTGTCTGCATTTGTGCCATTTCAATTGCAAAGTTTCTCCTTCCAGAGAAAGATTAGACACCCAAATTCCATAGATGCCAAAAGGAGTAACTTAAACTACTAAAAGTGGTTGAAAGCCTTTTTTTGCATTGAAGAATTGACCAGTACAGGTAAACTCCAAATGAAATAAGCTTTACTAATAAGAGATGTGTATTACTTGTGTTGCAAGGGCATATTTTGATAACAATCACACTTACAGGTATAATATATACGGTTTTGCCAATAGAACTTTAAATGCAGTCTTAACCTCTTGGAGTTTTGTAGGTGTCCTTATGAGTGTAGCAGTAGCATTTTTCCTTATATCCTATTGACCTTAGATTGAAGTGTGGAATCTCTTGCCATAATAGCTTGCATCAGCACATCTTGGAAATAATGTTTTTATCCAAGGACTAATTCAAGATATAGCAAGTATTCCTTAAGGAAAACAAAATGCTGTGGATGAGAATATAGGCACATTAAGTTAATATGTCAGGCTTTTAGAGCTAGTGATAAATGGGAGCAAGACTAGACATATATAAAAAGGTAGGTTCTCACAGAGAGCAGAAATAACACGGATTTAAGATACTTTGAAAAATGTTGTGCTATGGCTTTTCTGTAGGAATGATGAATTTCCGACAAATTTTAAATTTTTCTTTCTATGTTAGCATTACTCTGTCAATAGTAGTTGAGTTTCTTATGATTTATAAAAACACAAAATTGTAAATTTTTTAAGGGAAGTCTCTAAAAGCAACATTATACAAAGGTTTTTCCCAGTGATCTCTTGTAAGGCATAACTGACAGTCCCTACAGGGCACCATAGAACTTATTACTTCTAAGTCAGAGCTTTCTAGGAAGAACTAGCAAGAACTGCTGTCAGAGTAACCTTGCAAAGCCTCCCCATGTATGCTGAATCTTGCTTTTTTTGTATGTTAGCAGGAAATACCACATTTACATACCTCTGTTTTCTGAGAAACTGCACCAGCTGAGCGTAGAAAATTGGTGGCAGAATATACCTAGAACTTTAGTAGGATAGGAGCCTTGCAGTTATTTGTTCTTTAGAAGGAAGTGCGTGTAGTGCCCTTCCCTTAAACAAAGCAACTCTTAACAGGACAAGGTAGTGCCTAAGATTAGACTGTTTCTTGAGGAGGAAGCACTCCATGTCTTATAATTTGTGCTACCTCAGGGACTTCAGATGTTTCTTCCATTCTTGGTCTCTTTATGCTATTGTATAGCAGGTGGGTGAAAATGAAGTATGTGGCAAGTGTGTCCTAGAACACGGGGACAACCAGAGGATTGACAGACACCATGATGGGAACACCAGCTCTTAAAAGACTGCTGCAGTTAAAAGGCTACCATAAAAGTATCAACAGGGGATTGTGTAGGAGTTAGAGGGATGCAGAGACTTTATTTCTGTAAAGACTTTCAATGGAACCGCTGCCAAATGTTTCCCATTTTGATGTTCATTGTTTGAAAAGAAAGTTAATGAAAGTTCTGGAAAGAGTTCAGAAGAGAGCTGTGAGAAATTGTTTTAAGGCTTAGAATAAGAAATCAATCTATTTAAATCTTAGCCAAAATGCAACTTGACTGTACTCTCTATACTAAAAATACACAGTGAAAGTATTTGGGATAATAGATAAAAGGGATCTAATGAAATAGGTTACAGTAAGATCCATTGAACTGAAGCTAAAGCTCATCAAATTCAGTCTAGGATTAAGCCACTGCATATGAACAAAGAGCACTAACTTTTGGAACAACTACTTGTAGTCCAGTAGAGATATTCTATCACATGAAATCTTTAAAGCCGAATTTATGCATGTTTTTCAAAGATATTCCCAAGCTTAAAACAGAAGTTCCATAATGCATGGTGCAGAAACTGCTGAGCAAGGTTCTTTCATCTGTGCTATGCAGGAGGTCGGTCTGGATGATCATAGCATTTCCTTCTATCTTTAATCTATTGAAGTGCATTATGAAAAGCTTAACATGTATTTACAAGTTTCCATCTAATTAACAGAATGTAGGAGAGTGCATTTATAGAAAAACAAGCAAATATTTTAGATACTACTGTACCTTTAATTTATTAGCTTTTGTTAAAAGCATGTAACAATCTAGAGACTATAAAGAATAATTTACAAAAATATAAATCTTGGTTATTTTATTTTAGTATTTGAACAAATTACTATATTGTATGTGTTACTCAGAGAATATGTTTGACAACCTGAAATCATCCAGCAAACCAAAAATGTGGGATATTACATGTCTTTTGTAGAACAAATTATATATTAAGGAAGGGTAACCAAAAATTACTATATTAACATATTGTTTATACGAAAACTTATGCAGTGAACTATACTTGCATCCTGAAGAAAATATACATTTTAAGCCCTTTATTACAGCATTTTTCAGTATAAATATACATATTAAGAGTATGAGTGTTTTAGGCAAAAACTTTTGATTTGTGTAAAAAAGTGATATTCTAAAATAAGCCTGCCTTTGCAAGATCACTTCCCATCTTCTTGGTTAACTGAAGAGATAAAATAGTCAGAAAGTAACATATAAAAACATATTTTAGTCCTTTGATTATGGAAAACTTTACACTTAAATTTCTCTCTAAACACCAGGTATCTTGGCTAGGTGGGTTAGGAAGGTATCTGTAGAAGTACTGAATTCCTGGAAGATGAATGCGAAAGACAAATGGTAGTACGACCTCTCCTTCAAGGCAAGCACATGCGTTGTTTTAGTCTTTCCGTGTGCTTTCTGTAGAGGAATTGGAGACTTGCATTGGTTCATCAACACAAGTGGATTCATTTCTCATCTACAACTTCCCAGAGCAGTCAGGCAGGATTTGTAGGCCTTGTTAAAGGTCTGTTTGTACGAACTTATCGGCAGGCACAAGTTTCAACTGACATATTGGGATATACCTTTAAAACAACATTTTTGTTCTCATCTAAGAACAGGACACTGAGTGAGCTCATTTTGTCAGGAACACAGCAGGGTTCTGGGATGCCAGGAATGATTCCTACTGCTTTTACGATGCTCTGGATTGTAGCATGATTTGATGGCCGGACAATCTAGAACAGAGAAGGAAATAGTTATAGCTTCATTTATGAGCAGTCACTTTCCTAGGTGGATTTGGCACAAGCAGTCAGTTTCCTGTGTGAACTTGGAAAATCACAACAATTATGCAGTTGTTTGTTTCTCAATAAAGCAAATATGTCATTCTTTGAGTTACAGGGCCATGCAGCACAGCCAGTCCCTCACACTTCCAGCTTTCCTGAGCTGGATGTATCCTACAGATATTTTGTGTTCCTTAGGCTACCTTCATAAATACCAGAGGAGGGCACTGGTGGCACAGCCAGCAGCCAGAGGCCCGAAGAAAAATGTCCCTGAATGTACCTGCTATATGCTGGAGGCAGACATGCAAGAGAAGAAGCCTAAGTTGGGGCATAGTTCTCAGTTGCTAGATGCTACATTTCATTTTCTTAACATCTTGTCTGACTTAGAAAATTTGCTACTGTAAGTATTTCCAAAATAACTATCCCTAAATAATTATCCCTATGTTCCAATATAATTTTTTCTCATGTATGCTAACCTGGAATTAGTTACTTTTTCCTGGAGTAATCACTGTCTTTTAAAAGAGCAGAGTACTCCAGAAGTAGTGTCCACAGGAGAGAGTACAGAATAGTCAATCACCCTGACAGAGCCTTTATGATCATAACTGCAGGACAAATAGTTCATATCTGTGGTCTTTGCTTCCCTCTGCCTTTATCACCAGGAGTTTTTTTCCCCATGGGCTAGCCTTGAACTGGGAGAAGGAAAAAAAGGCTGGGAGACCGGGAAAAGTATGAAGTGAGGATTCACAGCAGCTTTACATCTATAACCTGTTCACGGTACTGAGCCACAAAAACCATGGTTTTCCATTTCAACACGAAAAGTTATGTAGTCCATGGAGAGAACAAAGTTGGTTTTCGGACAATTCAGTTTTGAAACATTTGCATTAAGTATCAGCAAATCAGATTCCAACCTTAACTGCCATTAAGGCTTTCAGATCTTCCTTAACTAAGCCATTATAAGGAGTAACCATGAAATCTGTCCTTGACCCTTCAAGACATCACCCCTATAGCCAAGTCCCAACAAGTGACCAATCCTGCACAGTGCCTTTCTGTAATTAGCATATGTTAGCATAATTAGCAACAGCTTGCTCTCTCTCGCCCTCAAGATTTAGATTTCAAAACTGTCTATGGACAAGCAGCCGTGAGGTGGTCTCACATTGGTCATGTCAGCATATGTGGACAGCAAGAGAGACAAGATATTTTGTGCATTTAAGCAACTGCAGAGTATAGAAATTAAAAGAATTAGAGCTTCTAGAATCAAGTTCTTAATTTAGCCTTTATGAAAAACCTCATGAACTGTTCCTAGCACCTGTGTTTTTTCGTGTTATTATTTGAAACAGTCACAGATCACAATGTGCTACTGAAACAGCATTTATTGCTCCCATGCAGTGGATAGCCATCACTGCCCTCAGGCCAGTTACTGACTTACAGGATTCTTGGCTATGAACCTGCAGAAGATCCTGCAAGGATCTTCTTCCACTGTACAGCCTCTAATATCTGCAAGGAATAAAGACATGTGAACACAGTCTATCTAGACTGAGCAGCTGTCTCCCAAGACAACAACACTAATTATGTTTTTAATGCCTGAATGTGGATATGCTATGCAGAAAAATGCTTAGAAAGGAAAAGGATAGACCAGTACTCTGTATGTAATCTGGCTGCCTGAGCCCTAAATCCACAGCAGAGCCAGACAGCACACCCATCCCACATCCAGCCAGGCTTTGAATTTTTCCAGCCCTTCTGGAAACCTGGCATCAGTGCTCAGTGATCATGGGCTAGGCTTCACATTTAAATTTGTCCCAGTGTGCTAAAGTAGAAAGCTTGAAATAGTTCATTGAATGCCCAGTAATAATGGCACTGAGGAAGTGCTAATGTTTTAAGTGCTGGCTGCTAAGTTATATACAACACACCAGGTTCTATGACATGCAGGACTGAAATTTATTTGGCAAATGCAGCACTGCAGCCAGCCATACATATAATCTAGTCTTCCTCCTCACAGTTCAGGGAATAAGAAATTCAGCAGGAAGGTAAGTGAATTTACTATGAGAAGATTTGTATCTAAGCTGTTGAGTACCTATCTAAATCTAGACTTGCGATTAAAGTGGGTGTGCAGAATGATGTACTGATACTAAAGAAAAAAAATAAACCGACAGTGTGATGATACCAAACATACCAGGTATGTAATTCTATGTCCACAGTTCTGAAAGGGTACTTGGGAAATAAGGTGTCTGTTGTCCATCATAGGTTGACCGTGTAGACTATGTCTTTATCAATAGCTTTATCTGGTCTTTGATACTTCTCTGACTTAGAGCACATGTGAAAGAACAAATTTCTTCCTAAGTAATATTTAGCAATTCTCATGCTCTGAACTGAAAACTTCATTCATGCTCGCATCTTCTCTCTCTTCCTTTTGAAACAGTCATTTAAAAAAATTACACCTTTGAATCTGCTTCTTTTTTCCCCTCTTAAAAATACAAAGCCAACAAGTAGTAGACCTCTTTCAATGCAAACCCAATCAATGAATGTGTATCAAACCCAGAATTCCAAAATTTATGTTTCTGTGATTTAATTTCTCTGTTTTTGTTTTTTGTTTTTTGGTTTTTTTTTTTTTGGAGGGGGGCGGTTTTGGGGGTTTTTTGGAGTTTATCTGGGTGGGGTTGGTTTTTTTTCAGTTGGGTTTTGTTTTCCTTATTTTGGTTTTTGGGCATCAAGATACTTGTGAAAGGGAATCCTTATTGAATATCAAGTATTTGCTTATATTTCTAGATAAGACATTAAGTAAATGAGCAATATAAGCTTATTTAACTATTCAAGCTAGACATGGATCCTGTCTCTTCTGGCCCTATCAGCTTTTGTGTAATGCTGTTTTGTTCAAAAAATGCATCTTTTTTGAAGGGCGGAGTTGTTGCTTGGTTGGGGATTTTTTGTTTCTTGGGTTTATGATGTTGTGTGTGAATGGTGCATTAGACTGTGAGTCTATGGCAAAGGACCCATATTCCCAGGCTGTCTTTTATTTTGGATAAGTTAAATGGTGATTATGTTGCATGATCAATTTGTATTCCAACAACAAAGTGGAGTTGTGATTCTGTCCAATCTTTAATTTTTTGCCAGACCATGTATCAATTTATGTACACCTGGCTCAGCATTGGCCAGCTACATAAGAACATGCAGTCTGATTTGTACACCCTACCCTGAAGTCTGGATTTCTACTGTTCCTGGACTTAAAATTACCCTACATATCTCCTCTTCCTGAAATTATACTGCTTGTTTCAACACAAACATACATCAATCTCCCTGCATGTAAAGTAGGGCAGATTCCTGTTTCAGAGCCTTGAAATTCTGTGCTGTACAGAACTATTCTTTATTTATGTGCCAAATGACCACATACAAAAATGTCAGTTGAACAAATAATCAGGCCATTTGTAGGCAGAATTGCAAAATAATTACAGTTTCTAAATATGCAGGTTATGCAGTGCTTCAAATCCTCCCCTCTGCCTTTACTTGAAAGTCTTATAAAGTCCTAAAAATTCTTGTCCAGTCTAGGATTACCAAACTTTCTACTTCTTGTCATAGAGCAGAGTTGGAGTAAGACAAATGTTTTCCTCTCCACTGGCAAATTTCACACTGCTTCTTTAGGAGGAATTCAGTGTGCTTATGTTAGGGTGCTAGAGCCAGTTTTGTGGCATTTCTAGAGACATAAGTTAAATAAACATTTTTGTTCTAGCAGGATTATCTAACATGTTTAGAATTTAGATACACAAACATC